TTTCAGTCGAAATTTTTTCATGCAATTCTAAGAAATAGTGCGACAAAAAATTTTCAAATTCTTTTCTTTTTTTTTTCTGAGTCCATGGACTTGGAAATTTGTTTTCAACTAAGCCATTGCATTGACCAGATAGCTTGATTATTCAGCTTCAATTTCCTTTTTTTTTTTAATTTCGATACGACCATTTTTCATCGAAATATCAGATTTTTAATAGAAAAGGATCCTTTTGCCTTTAATCAACGATATCTCGGCGACAAATGGTCGTACAGAGAATTGAAGGGCAGTTTCGAAAACTGGAATAAATTTCCTATAACATGCTGCCGCAACTTTACGGAAAAAAAATTTTTTTCATCTTTTACGCGAATTTTAAAAAACAGAAACAAAGGGTAATTTATGGTTTTTTAGAAAATTTACGGCTAAATTAGAAATATTCACGAAATGACAAATGTTAAATATGACTTTTACAGTTTAATATACTCAGAAGAACCCTGTGAAGTTTCATTTCGATCTAGTGAACCGTTTCTTTGTTTCAAACAGTCAAACTCTTGAAAAAAATTAAAAGATCACGTTTCTTGAGTTTAAATTCTTCATAATCATGATTAAAATGGGAAATTTTATTTTTTTTGGTTTTCTCATATTTTTATCGCAAATAACGTTTAAATTGATAAAAAAAAATTTTTTTTTTTCAAAGAAGAAAAAGGGTAGTTTTGAAAAAAACTATTTTTTAAGTGATTACAGACTGCACAAAAATTAATTAGAAATTTGTCTCTTAAAACGGTATTAGTCGGGGTCGAAATCTGGTTTGGGTCATCAACTTTAATTTTAATTTAATTAAAAGTTGAACAGAAGCACAGGACGGAAAAGCCGAATCGTGCTCGAAAAAATTGGATATTGTTTTATTTAATGCCCGGAAAGTTTTCCAAAAAAAAAACAACAAAAAACTTTTTTTCATCAATTTAACCGTTATTTGCGATAAAAATGTGAGAAAACCTCAAAAAAAATATTTTTCCATTTTAAGTCTGATTATTAAGTGTTTAAGCTCAAAAAACGTGACCCTTTAATTTTTTTCAAAAGTTTGACTGTTTGAAACAAAAAAAACGGTTCTCTAGATCGAGATGAAAATTTACAGGGTTCTTATATGTTCTATATATCTATATCGAACTGTAAAATTCATGCTTTAACATTAGTCTTTTCTAAAAAAACATAAATTACCATTTTTTCCTGTTTTTTAAAATTCGTGCAAAAGATGAAAAAAAAAATTTCCGAAAAGTTTCCGACAGCATGTTATAGGAAATTTATTCCAGATTTCGAAACTGCCCTTCAATTCTCTGTACGACCATTTGTTGCCGAGATATCGATGATTGAAGACAAAGGGATCCTTTTTCATTAAAAGTCCGATATTTGGATGAAAAATGGTCGTATCGAAATTTAAAAAAAGGACATTGAAGCTGAATAAACAAGCTATCTGGTCTATGCAATGGCTTAGCTGAAAAAAAAATCAGAAGAAAAAAAAATTGCAAAACTTTTTTGTCGCACTATTTCTTAGAATTGCATGATAACCGTAGCTCCTAAAAAATTTCGACCAAAAGATCTAAAAACTAGAATCTTAGAGCTTCAAATCGCTTTTTTTTTAATTCCCGATACGACCATTTTTCACTTAAATACAGTCTGTCAAAAATCACGGAAAGATTTCGAAAATTTTTTTGACCCATTAATTTTTTGCTTTAGTTTATATGGTGGTTGGAAAAAATAGGCCATAATTTTTTTTATAACTTCACTTTTTAAGATATTTCAATAAAATTTGATGTAGAAAGGTTTTAATGAATATGAACATAGATTTATATTTTGCCCAAAACATGGAGACCACCAAAGAAACCTGAAACAGTAATTGACTCTTTTGTCATACAACTTTTGTTTCTGCCAATAACAAAAAACACAATGCCTTCAGTGTGCTCAGCTATGGCTTCACTTTGAACATTCAATACCGTCTGCTATTCCAGTAGCTTAGTACCTTTTGTGCTTCCAATTTGCTCATCCTTCTCCTCAGATTCTGTACACTCAGCCCTTTCTTCGATTTAATTCCCTTGAGACCCCACAGTACCTATCAATTTGTTTCAACATGTTCAGTAGCTTCTGCTATTCTTTTAACATTAGTTCTCTCTGTACTTTCAATACACTCAGCTGTGACTTTCTGCTATTCCAGTAGCCTTCTGTGCATTCAAAATGCTCATCCATCACCTTAGTTTATGCATCCTCAACACTATCTTCGATCTTATTAACTTTAGGTCAGTACCATCAGTATGGTGCCTCAGCTGCGGATTCAGTTTGAACGTTTTCAATACCTTTTTCTCCTTCATTATGCTCAGTAGTATCTTCTGTTATTCCAGTGACTTTAGTACCTACCTTCTGTACCTGCAGTATGCTCAGCAATACCCTCAGTTTTCGACACTTTCAGAACTTCAGTCTAACTAGATTTAGTTCCTACGGTACCTTTAGTATCTTCAGTTTCAACATGTTCAGAAGTACTGAAAATCAGAAGGTCTAACACATTTATTTCCCTCTCTGCCTTTAGTTTCAATTTGTTAACTACCCTCTGCTATCCCAGTAGCTTTAGTTACTTGTATGTCTTCAGTATGCTTAAACGTAACCACAAAATCAATATGTTGAGTACCTTCTGCTGTTCCAGTAACTTTGTTGGCTCTGTGCTTTGAGTATGCAGAGCTGTGACCTCAGTTTCAACATATTTAGTAACTATTGTTATTATAGTGGCTCTAGTCCCCTCTGTACGTCTAGTACACTCAGTTGTGTGTGGCTTCACTTTCAACGAGTTTAGTACCTTTTGTTGCCAGTAGCAGTAGAAGGTACTAAACCTTGTGTACCTTTGGTATGCTTTCTACAGTTTCACTGGATTTAGTTCTTTTCAACATGTTCAGTATCTTCTGCTATTCCAGTGTCTTTAATTCCTCTGTTTATCAGTTTTACCAGTTCCCCTATGCTCAGAATTTTCATTTATTCCTGTAGATTTATACAGGGTGGTCCGAATTTTATGCAGGAAACTTCGAGGGTAGATAGATCTCTTTAAAATAATATGTGTTTGCCTTATAAACATAGGTCTGAAATGGCCCCGTTTTAGAGATACAGGGTGTTGAAGTTGTTAAAAAAAATTGATTTTTTGTTTATATCTCCGGAATCTATAAACCGATCTAAATGAAATTTGGTACAGATAATATATGATAGTAGGCCTTACATTCCCTAAAATATGAGCGCTATAGGTTCAACCAGTGGTGTACAACTAGACAGGGGTCGCCCCCTTTTTTACAAAAAACACACGCCACTGCATTGTTTGCAAATTACTGTAACGTATGTATATTCTAATGCACAAAATACGTAAAAAAGGTAACTTTAATTTTTTCCCTAAGATTTGCCGTTCTCAAGTTATTCAAATCAATACTTGCCTTGTGGCAACCATAATATTACAAGAATATTTATGCTTATGCTTAAAAGTAAGTGCAATTTTTAAGCACATCAACAAAATTATTTGCACCACCTGTGAGGTAGTGTTCCTGGCGTGTTTTAGTTTTCCCTGGAGGCCTAATACTCTACAAATAAGAACAATTTAAATCAAAATAATAATAAAAATATATTTACCAAGCAGCAGCAACTAAACAAGAAACAAAATTAACGTTACGTATTTACAACAATTGTATTACACTCGTCTTCTATTCGTTGCAGTAGTTGTGGTCTTGTATCTGTTGGAGTAGAATAAACTTTACTTTTCAGATAACCCCAAACATAGAAGTCCAGGGGGTTTAGATATGTCAATCTGGCTGGCCAAGACACTGAACCCTCTGCATAATTATGGTTGACATTGGCATTTAGTCTTCTACCTATCCATCGACCCAAATAATTTTAATTAAGCCATTCTTATATTATTCTCCCAGAATGCGCAGGAGCACCATCCATTGTATCCAGCTTTAATGGAACATCCTCTAATAATTCAAATAGATGGTTTTCTAGAAAGTTTAGAAATGACTGGGAATTTAGACGGGTTTAGAAAGGTCCACAAACTTTATTGCGAATTATTCCGAGCCACACGTTCACAGAAAATTCGTGTTGAAAAGATCTTGTACGAATTTCATGAGGATTTTCTTGTGACCAAATATGCAGGTTGTGAAAATTCACTACCCTTCGCCTTTGGTAAATGTACATTTATTATTATTTTGATTTAAGTTGTCCTTATTTGTAAAGATAGTGGGTTAGGCTTCCAGGGGAAATTAAAATGCGTAAGGAACTAAGGTGGTGTGGAAACAAGTGTAAAGAATTTTGTTGATGTGCTTACAAATTGCACTTACTTTATACCATAAACATAAATATTCTTGTAATATTATGGGTAGAAATGTCTGCACAAGGGGATTGTATTGGTATGAATAACTTGAAAACGGCGAATCTTAGGGAAAAAATTCAAGTTACCTTTTTTACGTATTTTGTGCATTAGAATATAAATCCGTTACAATAACTTGTAGAAAATGCAGTGGCGTAGTTTTTTTTTTAAAAAAAGGGTGACCCCTGTCCAGTTGTACACCACTGGTTAAATCTTTAAAGCTCATATTTTAGGGAATGTAAGGCCTACTATCATACATTATCTGTACCAAATTTTATTGAGATCGGTTAATAGATTCCGGAGATATAAACAAAAAATCAATTTTTTTTAACAACTTCAACACCTTGTATCTCTAAAACGGGGTTGTTCCAGACCAATGTTTATAAGGCAAACACATATTATTTTAAAGAGATCTATCTGCCCTAGAAGTTTCCTGCATAAAATTCGGACCACCCTGTATAACTTTTATCTAAGAGATCATGTAAAAGACACAAATTAGATGTTCATAGAAAATCTTTTATAAGTATCTATTTATAGTATAAAAATAAGATACATTTGTGCGAAAATCAACAAAAACAAATACTTTTTGTCTTTTCTAAAGTGAGAGATGCCTCGGCAAGCTCAACAACTGCTGTACTCCGTGGAAGCATATACAATATGGGAGATTTTGCACAATGCCTAACTGCAAGAGCTCCTTTTCCAACACAATACTGCCTAACGGTCGTCACAGCTAATGTCCCACAACCAAAAACTACTAGAAATCCATTCTCGCTCTATTTTGATCCAAACGACTCAGTGGTCACTAAGTTGTATGTAAGTATTTGCAATCTAGTAATCTTAATGGTTATGGTACTTTTTTTTGGGCGTTCGTCCCTATCCGTTAAAGTCTATAACTACATTTCTGCTATATTCATTTTGCTTTTAGGGAATATATTTTCTATCATTTATTTTTCAAATTTTGAATTAGTTTTAGCTGCTAACATTCACACACAAGATTAAATGCTGCATTTTATTTCATGGTTGTAGAAAATTCCGACGACGAAAGAATTATAAACCATTTGGATGCATAACAAATTGTCGATATCTTAACTGCATTTCTCACTATCTCCAACAAGTGAACTAAAGTAAGAAATGCGGTCCGGGTAATTCTTTTTGAAAGCTTAAGGATGAAAAAATGTGTAAAGTAGATTTGAGAACTGGTCTTTTTATGACAAGTAATAAAAGGCTGAAATCAATGCTGGGTAATGTTTAAGAATGAAAAGGCGTCAAAAACAGCTTGGAAATCAAGGACAAGTTAATATAGATGTTCTTATCATCCTATAAATCTTAAGTTAATTGACTTGTATTAATCAGAAAAGCGACAGTGATAAAATTAAAATTTTCAACCACCCATATTGAACAACAATTGTAATTTTTTTGTTTGTCAAAGTTTTTTGACAAATTAAATAATTCCTTTGTTTCTGTCAGACAATTAAGTAGATACCTACCTATAAACAGAAATAATATTAAATTGTTTTAGAATTTTGAATATGTCTTACCTAATCTAGACATACACTCATGATTTCTTCAAAATTTGTCATTAATAAGTAGTTAATTTTGTACAATACACTGCGAAAAACAGTGACAATTTCTAGGTAAAATTTTTATATCATGTGGATTTCTATTTAAATTAATAACAGTATACTCCGTTTTCATATTTTATTGCGAAATACAGGGTGATTTCACTTTAAATACAAAAACTACAGGCTAGATTCCTTACCGAAAAAATAAGTCGAGCTTGCTCTAGAAACTTTTCCTGTGGGACTCAGTATTCGAGATACAGGGTGTTAAAGTTGTACAAAAAATATATTTCTTGTAAAATCATATATTTTATTATTAGTTTTCACATTTTTATTCTATTTAAAAAAATCAAGATGTCAAGTCTGACCTTTATATTATATTTTTTTCCACAATCCTAAGTTATATGTTAAAAGAAAAACACCTCTTTGTAGTAAGTAGTTGTTTTTTACGTGATTAGTCTTTAGCAAAGGTAATAATAGGACAGCAAGAATACAAGATATTTCTTTGAATGATTGCATTATTTAACGATTTCAACATGTTAGGTATGAGCTTTTGTATTTATTATATTTAGACAGATCATCTTATTTAGATGTCTCGTTGTGGAGATAAATGTCTTCTGCATTTCTAGTATCGGAAATTATTTGTTCAGTTATTTTAATGGCTAACAAAATTGTAGCATTTTGTAACCGAAAAATTATTAAATCCTTTTTTTGCCGTACAGCTGTGGACAAAAGAAAGTTACTGATCTAAAACGATTGAATATACGCGTTTTTTAAGAACTATCAGCAGTTTATATCGAAGATTTTTCATTGCCCGCTATACCAAAAAAAAATACGTCATTGCCATACATTTTTTTTTTTTTAGAAATTTGACGATGTTACCCAGCAGTCCAGAAATGTGGTCAAAATGGGATGGTGTCTTCCAGCATCTTGCACGCCTTCAAATATCGAAATATACACCAATGACTATTTTAGTAAAATTGACCACCCTCTGAAAGAAGAGAATGTTACTTTTACAATAAAAATTTCGTCAAAGGCGTGCACATCGTCAAATTCACAGCGAGGCTTTGATGGGTTGGACATTTCATTCTGGTAAGCATTTGTACTAAATATCTAATAATTTAATCCGCAGAAATCCAAAAATCTTCCTCAAAAAGTATATTATCATTTTCTCAAAGTTTATTTGCTAAATTGAACTACGGAAAAAATGGGAAGCCAATCTATTTTAGATAATAGGAAGATAATACGGAAAAAACAATTATCTACATTATAAAATCTAAACATTTGCGAAAGCAGAAACCTAACATTAATTAATTACCGAATAACTGATTTTGTTGTAATTAGTGTCTGTACAATTTAATACCTATCTACTTACAATTAGTATAATAGAGTATCATACACGTAAATACTTGTTCAACTTTCGTTATTCATGAGAATAAGTACTTCAAATTAGGTCAGTAAACTCGCAGAAAATGTGAGTAAACGTCGATTTGTGACATATCTTTAAAGTACAGAGCATGAATTAGGAATAGGTACTTTGGTTTCTTACGTAATACTACAATTACAAACGTTTCTCATATTTGCAATAAGATCATGAATAATATAATCATAGTCAAACAAATGTGTAATAGTATATTACGTAATAAGTGTTGTAAAAAGTATTTTACGCACGAATGGAAAAGTTACGCACGGCGCCGCGTAGCGGCGAGTGCGTAATTCTATAAGTGCGTAATTGCATTACACCCACGTATTACGTACTATACTTTACCTACGACCACTACTGTAAATAATTAAAAACACACCGTCTGCGATCAATGTAAGATTCCTATCACTCATGGTAAAAAAATCGCACAGCTTGGTAAAAAAATCGTACAGTTTTCCAGTTTTTTTACCAAGCTGTGCGATTTTTTTACCGTACGTAATAGGAATCTTACATTGATCGCAGACGGTGTGTTTTTAAGTATTTACAGTAGTGGTCGTAGGTAAATATAATAATTTCAATTATCCTTCAAGAGAATACGCAAATTTGGAAGTGATTTGACATTAGACAAGTGTATAGTGATAGTGTATGTCACAACTTTAAAAAGTCATCTTGGACTGAAAAATCCTTGCGAATCTATAGCCACTGGTTGTCAAAGGGTATTGAAATTAAAAAAAAAGACATTACATCTATTCTTACCGTTCATTTTACATTTTAAATTGTTTGTTTCAGCATATTAACTACAGTTTTGGTATTACTAGTAATTTTTTCAACTACTTGGGAATATTGTAAGGACAGCGACAAATCTCATAACAGTAAGTACAAAGTTATTCCTGTGAGGTATTTTTTAAACATTTGTGTTTAACATTCTAACGGAATAAAATTGGTATGTAGGTATACATACAGAGTGTTCTGTAAATAATGCTATATTGAACAGGTTATAGAAAAAATTATTATTAGCAAAATGTTTCACATGAACGTGGATCATACTGAATGAAACTTGGCTACTAATTTACTTATTTAAGTGAAACTTAAAATTATAAGAGAAGTAATACCTCTAAGAGCCTCAGAATTTCGATGCCAATGAGTATTCTGCAAATTTGATCAGTGCTTTTTATTGCCAATTTTATCCATTTGCAATTCCGATTTTTTTTATATGGAAGTGAGCTTATAACACATTTCAGTAAATTGATAATAACTTTAAAACTATTCCTTGCACAAAAATAGCTTATCAGAATTTTTTATCGTAAATACAATTTTAATAGACCTTTTTAGTAGTGACGCCACATACACCAAATAATAGGCAACCCCATAGGGCACACTGTCATGAAGAATTTCCCAATATGTTTACTAGATCGATTTTCGACCTTATGTATTTTAGACACAATATAACAAAATATCTTCTTTGTCATAACCCTAAATATCGCGATATTCTGGCAATATTAGAAACATTTAAGAAGTTTGAAACCCCAAGTGACAAACTAAAAGAATTATAGAATTTATATATTTAAATTTATTGTTCAATATTGATTTTTATATAATTAATAAATTAAAATTATATCAATGATACTGAGCACGCGCATTAAATATTTCATGTCAGTGAAGTAGCCTCGCAATAGGATATCATTCAAGAAAAGTTTGGTACTGGTTAAGAGCACATGTGTAATAAACCAGTTGAAGAAAATAACACTCAATAAACATACTGATACAGCAGAGCAACAATAAAAACAATAAAAATACTTAGTAAAACTAGAAAATGACAAGCTTAAACAAAAAAAAAGAGAAAATACGCTAATGATAACAGCGATGACATATCAACAAGATCTCACCTGCATATGAGGCTATTCTTTCCGAATATGCGCATTAGGGATAACACGGCTAATGTTAAGGTTTTACTTTATTTAAATTTAGGAATATTCTTTTATATCGTTTTTTGTAAATTTTAAACACATTAGTGTATCTATTTTACCAAATATCTATTGGTTGTTCTTAAATACTTCTCAATCCTTGTAAAAATAAATTCATTTGAAGTTGTTCATCTATGTAAATAGTAAATAAGGGTCGGCTGGTTCTTCGAGCAAAATGTAAGATATATTTTCCCTTAAAAATTGAGTTGGTTTCGCGAAAACGGTTAAACTTAGAAATTTGAATTGTATTACAGTTAACAATAATTAGTTTAATGATATTTTTAGTAATCTTTAAAAAAAAATGACAATACTATGTTTTTAGTAACTGTTATACTAGTTATGTATAATCGGCAAGGAAAAATATTTTTTTCTCGTGAAGTATACGAAAAAAGGAGAAGAGTGAAAAAAGTTTCTAAATGAAGTGCAGTATTAAAAGCTATTTATTGTGTAAATTAGCTAATGTAGAAAAAAGTTCTGAGAGAAAAAAAAACCAAGGGGTACTAATTTCTTTAATTCAAAGACAAACCAAAATTCCAATTTCTAAGTTTAACCGTTTTTGCTAAGAAAATAAAGGCTAATTTTTTCGGCCGTTTTGAAATTCGAATATTTTCTCAGGAGGGCTCAAATCGAAAAAATGTATTGGAAGTACCCCCCTAAAATTACTTTTTAAACATATCCTTAAAATATTTACACATCATTATGAAACACCCTGTTTATTCTATAATATTATACAGTAGTACAGTTATAAAAATGTTGATGATCCAACAAAAACTAGAATATTTATATTTTTATTGACTTATTCTACACACCCTATAAATTTAATTTAAGTATTGCTAAAAAGAGCAATGAATCAAAGGTCAACTTATTAAGTATTTAAGTATACCATTACAGAAATACGATATTTTTATTGTTTAAATTGTCTGCATGTTAACGAAGACGTAAAATATTTTACAGCATAATTATGGTAGAGTAATTTCACTTATTACAGTATATGCAAAAAATGTGACTTTTATGGGATCCGGACCCAAATCTTTCATAGTACCTACTGAAAATATTGAAATAATAGATATTTTATTGTCTATTTCACAGTTTTAAATTGATTGGTTCCTTTAAATTTGTCATTTGCTCAGTAAAAACTAGAACTTTTATTCACATTTCAAGTTTTAAATTAAAAATGTAAATCAATATTTTTCGTCGTTATTGGAATTACTTCTATTAATTCCCGAACTTAAATCACTTCTCAATTACTTCAGTATCCCTCAAAGTTTTGCACTTAATTCATTTTAATGTCGACCACACGTTTTATAATAATTGCATAGTAATATAATTTCCTTACATATTGAATTGCTTCATATAATAAGTATACATAGTACTTACTATCAATTTATTAAAAAACTATAAACGTTATAGGTTCATTCTTGCATAGAATATTCCTGGCCTTTTCTGCCAAGACAAATTTTCCACAACTAAATAAAGCCGAAAGTTCTAACGAATCTCTAAGTATTTTGTATGGGATAAGGACGTTTTCCATTTTCATGATCATTCTGGATCACAGATTTGGAACCTTTGTTGGAGGGGCTGTTTCAAACGTCGACTACATTGAACAGGTAGATACATTTTTTAAACTGACATCTGAAGAAGCTCTCTGAGAGCAACATCTATATATACCAAAAAGTTACTTCAAATTTTTAATAATATTTTATATGACAACTACTCTGCTGACTAAAACTCCATTCAGCATTGAATTACACCACAATATCAAGTAAACATGTCATCTCACCCAGTTTAGTTAATAATTTCTACAAATGTATAAATAAACTGCCCGAATATTATTAACGAAAAAATCGCTTACTTGATATATTTAAACAATTCATTTATAATTTTAAAGAAATTATCTCTGTCCTTGTTTTTTTAACAACACCTCTTTGCTTAATTAACCATAATAGATTTGCTCCCTATTTCTGCATCTTAAATATTGCTGCTTCATTATAATTAATTGGAATTAATAAATACTAATAGAACAAAATTATATACATATAAAACCTATAGCGTCAAAAATGTTCACAATATGACAGATTAATGTGAACTGTCTTTTTATCTAACCAACATCCATCGTTTACTAGATATTGTTGATATAATTCAGTGACTATGATTATTACTTTTATTTTTTCCTATCCAATTCTATTGTACAGATTTGTACGTTTAATTAAATTCTGTTTTTTATTATATTTACATTTTTAATACTGATTTTCAGAATTACAGGAATACGCTAGTTTCTTACATTTTCCATGGGGATTTGTTTGTTGACACTTTCTTTGTCATAAGTGGACTGTTGGTGGTATACAACTTGTTGAATACATTTGACAAAAAATACATAAATCCAGGTTTAATAATATTTATGAGGTATTTAAGGTATGTCATAAATTTTTAATACTTCTTTTCTTAAAATTTGTATAATACATCTAAAAATTAAACATATATATTATTCAAGTATAGTAGCATCGAAGAAGTGTCCTGTTTAAACGATACTTACATTTTTTGTAGATTGACTCCAGCATACGCTTTTGTTTTATTTTATGCCTGTACTCTATTTTATAAGAGTGGGAACGGACCTTTATGGAAAGCTATTGTTGGATCGGAGGTACAGGACTGCAGAAAAAACTTGTGGGCTTCTTTGTTGTACATTTCAAATTATTTTGATACACCTCACATGGTAAGTGATTGGTACTTTTTTAATTCAAACTGCACATTTAATAGAGGTTTTAAAAAAATGATAATCCCGCTATTGGTGTAATCTTAGTATTGTAATTAACAGAAATATTGTAAATATTCTTTAACTTCGTTTGTTTTCAATGTCTTTTTGCGAAGCAGTAAATATTTACAAATAAAATCCGACTTTTGTTTTAATATTCGGAGTAATTTTTCTATGTGTATGTAATGTTTCAGTTTATTAACTGAAATTGTGCTATATAAGTGACAAGTCATCGTAAATTGGACATATAATTGATATAATTTTTCTTGTTCGTGTATCAAAATACCGGCAAGCGGCATACTAATTTGTGCTAATCCCATTTTTGTGTATAATTATAGTTGCATGTTATGTAAGTACATTTCTCTCTATTCTTTCTAAATGTGATATAGAAAGACACTTTTAGATGTTATTACCTGATATACAGGGTGATTCACAAATGGGGACCAAATTCAGATTGATTTTCAAGTTTTACTTGAAAATCAGGCTTTCTTCGAAAAATATAAAAGTGTAGTAATTTGTAGAAAATTGAAAGACGAATCCGAAAATATCGTGATTGTTAATTCCATTTAACAAATTATTAAGTTAATGCATTAAACAAATATAGTATATACGAAAATAAATATACGAAATTCTGAATATACTAATAAAATGGAAATATTTGCCTTGAATCAAGAGGCAGGTATTTGGAGAATGATTTTATTGACAGTCACTTCAAAACATGATTATGTAAACTACTGAAAAAAATTAAGGGAACAAAAAAATTTCGTAAATTTTTTAAGTGATTTTTAAAAGACTGAAAGTCAAAAATGATCATGTCGAGAAAAGTATTATGAAGCTTTAAGTCTCTAGTTTCAAGATCTTTTGACAAAAAATTTTTTAAGCAATCAAAGGAAAAACCGCGAGAAAGAAATTTTTTCAACTTTTTTTTTCTGTTAGGGCTGTCCACTCACTTTGCAAAATTTTTTCGAACTCAATCAATACAGAGGTCAATTAGCTTGTTTATTCGGCTTCAATTTGCTTTTTGAAAGGTCTCTTTATGACTATTGGTTACCGGAATATCGATGGTTGAATGAAAAATTACACTTTTGTCTTAATCATCGATATCTCAGCAACAAATTATTGCACAGTAAATCCAAGCGCCATTTTAAAAAACTGAATAAATTCTCTACAAAAACTTATCATGGTTTTCGAAAAAAAACTTTTTTTTTTTCATGCTTGAAGAAAATGCAAAAAAACAAGGAAATTTTTTTCACGGAGATATTTCTTTTGATTGCTTGATAGTCCCAGCTCAAAAAAGTTTTTTGTCAAAAAATCTTGAAACTAGAGACTTGAAGCTTTAAAATGCTTTTTTTTTTCTCGACACAAACATATTTCACTGAGATACAGCCTTACAAAAATTATTAAAAAATTTGAGAAATCTTTTTATTTCCTTAATTTTTTTCAGTAGTTAGCATTGGTTGTGTGCTACATTTGAAAAAAATATCTTCAGATGTTTAGGAGAAACTTGCATTCTTACCTTTTTTAATTCAACTTTAAGGGGCTGTAACTCGTTTTGAATTACTACACTTTTGAAAAAGCATCTGAAATATTTCTAAAACTTTTCGGTAGTACATTGATAATTTGGTTGTTAAAAACATTGAACAATGAAAATAATTGAAAATGAAATTATTTTTCAAATACAAATATTAATTTAACATAAATCAATGTCTTTTTCAATTTTCAAGTTTTTCAAAAATTTCCTCAATCTCGAAAAATAATGAATGTGTCAGTTTTTTCTATTACATCCGTTAAAAAAAAGTTTTTCTTGGAAAAAGACAGTAATAAGTACGTATGTTTAAGAGAATAATGTACCTAATTTTGCAGTTTAGCAGTGAAATATAACACTGGAAATGTTTAATATGTATAATACTTTTGTCATTTTATTATGACATTTCGTAAAATTATCAAGAAGATTAAATATTTTGGAAATATTTCATTCAAACTTTCACTATAATTTTTATACAGGGTGTTTCAGATAGACCTCCCATAAATGTAAGGGGGTGATAGTACGACAAAAAATAAGAATTTTTTGTCTTATGAACTATATGTCTATCTCCTCTTGTTTTTGAGATACAGAGCAATAAAATAAAATTTTTTAAATAGAATTTTTACGAAAATTTCCAAACGGTGCGAAATTTTACATTTTAAGTTCTAATTTTTTTGAAGTTAGGTTTTTTAGAATTCGGGTTCCAATTTCCAATGTACAATTTTATTTTATAAAAATAATGTAGATACTGTTGTTAGAATTTCCTAATGTGGACGGTTTTCGAGAAAAAAGGATTTTAATTGAACTCTTACAATATTACGGTGAAGAAAATAAGTGACTTTTCTCAAAGTAGGCTTATGTCAAAACTTATTGATGGATGTCTCATAAACAACGCATACATTCTCAATAATATTTTTAAACTCTAATTAATTTTATAAAAATTTTAGTGACTGTAATTAGTCATTCTAACTACAGTCACTCAATCACTAAAAGTTTGATATAAAATTAATTAGAGTTTAAAATATTATTGAAAATGTATGCGTTGTTTATGAGACATTCATCAATAAGTTTTGACATAAGTCTACTTTGAGAAAAGTCACTTATTTTCTTCAGCGTAATATTGTAAGAGTTCAATTAAAATTCTATTTTCTCACAAATCGTCCACATTAGGAAATTCTAACAAGAGTACATTATTTTTAGAAAATAAAATTGTACATTAGAAATTGGAGCCCGAATGGTAAAAAACCTAACCTTAAAAAAATTAGAACCTAAAATGTAATAGGAATGTAGCGTAACTAACACCCTTTATGAAATATCCAAAAAATAATTATACCAGCGTATTTGGCTTCCTTAAAAACCCCGGGATAACATAAAAATATTTCGCACCGATATTGGATATTTTGGATATTTTCGTAACAATTCTATTTAAAAAATTTTATTTTGTCGCTCTGTATCTCGAAAACAAGAGGAGATAGACATATAGTTCATAAGGCAAAAAATTATTTTTTTTTGTCGTTTTATCACCCCCTGAATTTACAGGAGGTCTTTCTGAAACACCCTGTATATTCCAGAACTGTATGTCGAAATTAATAAAAAAAACATATAAAAGTATTTCTTCAGTTAATTTAACTTGTAACAGAATTGCAAATTCCATTCTTTTTGCTGTGTACTTATTTAATTAAAAATTCATTTTCAAAATAATTATTTTCGTTTGGAGACTTGGAGACTTTAACGTTAGCATAGACCGCAAACAAAAAATGTAGTAACTAACAAAACCCTTAATAGTTAAATTCATCTTCTGATCGATATACTTAGCGTTAAAGGTGCGTGAGCAAAAAATTTCAAGCTAAAAGACGCGCTATGCCAAGTGTCCACCTATTTTTGCCCTCAAGGCAACCCAGTCCCAAAAAAATGTTTAAAACATGCAAAAGTAATGCTAATTGCCTATATCGAAGCTGCGGGCATTCTTATATATTAATGCTCGCATAAATAATACTACGCAAATACAAAGTTAATTATTATTTTCACCGCTATTCTCACTGTCCTTGGGATTTTTACGCGCAAAATCGAAATGACTACATGACAAGTAAAAGTTGACTTGGAAATATCCTGACTCTTTGTAAACAAAGCTTTTGTCTGGCCTGTCTGATGTTAATAACGTCCTTAATACGGTTTTCAACCTTTTAAAACAAAAGTATAGCAAAACAAAATACTAAACTAATTTATTTTTATAAAAGTAAAATAAATACATTTCGCCCTTGACAATCACTCTGGGTATGGCGTAAGTACTTAAAAGCACATTAATAGTACAATCACAGACAAAATAGCTATCGCCACAGACCGCTCCTGGAATAGGCCAGCAGTTTTAAATTTCCGAATTGCCGGTAGAGTACACCACCAGCAGAATTTTAGGAAGAATCAAATACAGCGGCCCGCATACCTAAGCGTATCCTAGCAACATATAAACAAGACTTTGGTAATGTTGCCAGGCGTACTTACGGATTTCTTTTGTACACTTTTTTATCAATATCTGTTTTTTGCGTTACTGTATTTACTTCAATGTATGATGTAGGTATTGATAAAAATGTTTTTAAAGAATCAACGAATATCTATGTATGTATCATATGATATTCTGCAGTGGTGTTACAATTAAGTTATTTAATCATAATTTCGTTAATTAGCTACCTACTATTTTCATTTTTTGGTATTGAAATACTGCAGAAAATATATTTCCAAACAAACAAAATTCGTAATAATATTTTAAGCAGCTTGTAATATAATTTTTTTAATATTTGATGATGACGATAAATTTATTTAATATACAAGGTGGGTTATTAGTACGTCGCGGAATGTAGGTACCTTTTTTTTTGTATTTTGACACCCACTTACAGGTTTAATAATTAAAGATAGAAAGAACCTTTAAAAACAAATGTACGACTCTTCCTTTATTTCATTTGACATCAAAATTTGCTGGCATAAAATATATATGTTTAAAATAAAAAAATCATTAAAAAAAATTAAAATTCATCCTTATGAAGATAACAAACAACGATTTTTATAACTAACCTTTACAACAACATAAAGAGAATACCTAAAAACGAAATAACATTAATATACCTACAATTTTTACAAATCAACATGCAAGTGATTGTGATGATACAGTTGAAAATATGTTTTAATTTACTATTAATTGCTTCAAAAACAAATTCAAAATTATCAAGCATTTCGTCCTGTATTTTTCTTTCAATACTTGCAAATTTTCAGGTAAAAAAAAATATGTCTAAAGGACTGACAATGAGATCGGGGCTGTTTTCTGGCCACCTAAGGTTTCTAATAATATTTTTTAGTGTTCGTTGACGGGATTCTCCCTCTAAAGTAAATTTGCCAATATTTCTGAAGAACTTTTGCACATTATTGTTATTTGAATAATACAGTTAATTATGTTTTATGTTTCGTCATCAGAATAACCCATTGTAATTTTTTTAATTTTTTAAATTAAAATGGGTTATTCTAATAATGATAAATCCCATGTATTTTTAAAAGAAGTTTCGTTTCTGTCGTTTTTGTCTGATTGTGTGCGAGAGAGATAGAGTTATAATGTGCGATAGAGATAGAGTGACTCTGTCCTCATAGAGATAGAGTGACTCTGTCCTCATATAGAGCTTATCTCTCTCTCTGCTGCCTTCAGGAGTCTCCCCAGCAATTTCAGGACACCTAGGGAGGGAGCCTAGGGTAGAGCGCGTGGCCTTTTTAGCCTTCGTTATCGATCTAGGATGTCACACAGTATAAGAAAAAAAACGCTTTTTGCTCGTAACTCGGAAATGGCTGGAAATATAAACAAATTTCCCCTTGGTTCTGAGTAGAGCACTCGGTGGGTGACGCAGAGCGGGGTGTCACAATATATGAAAGAAAAGAAAACCAGTATTTACTTAGACTCTTAGTATAAAAAAATCTCACATGGTGAACAAATAAATCTCACATGGTGAACCAGTGAAAAACGTCAAAACCCGCATGTCAAAAAAAAAAAATTGGGAGCAATGGTGTGTGACATCATAGGATAAAAAAGTGTTTATAGCTCGGAAACGGTGCGTTGAATCGAAAAAAATGTCAACCCCCTCCCTCTCGGGTTCTGTATATTCCTTCTGCGTTGAATGCAAAAGGTCCGAAGTCCGTCGAAAATAAATTTTGGAAACAAAAGGTATGTCGTGTTATAGTAAATAGGCAGTATAACTCGGAAACGATGCGTTAAATCGAAAAAATAATTGAAAAATTCTCCCCACACTCCTGATTCTGTTTGTCCGTTCTGCGTTGAATGGAAAAGGTCCGAAATCCGTATGTCGAAAAACAAAAAAGTTAGTCTAAAATTGCAACAGCAGTAGCGAACGCATTATCTTATCTCTGTATTGATTGATGATGTGTTGTTTTTTTTTAAATAAATTTCGTATTCAACTACTCCTTGAGGTTCCAGCAATTTTACATTGTGTTAATTTTTTTGAACACCTTGTGTCACAAATATGAGCACTACCAATGACAACCATGATATGCAACACTTGTGTCAATAATTATTTTACCTACCTATCTAAAGAAATCAACAATAAGAGGCAGTACCCATCTAAGGATACACAACCTGTATAATGCAATTTTTTTAAACATAGGTTTAATATCGTACCATATTGGAAGTCGACGCACAAATCTAAAAACATTAATTTCGAGTTTTTGAATTTTCCCATTCCAAGGTGATATAAAATAAATAATTAATTAGATAAATTCAGAGTTTTAATTATAACTTGATTTATTTTATTTGACATTTAAGGCAAATGTGATTTCCAAACACAAGATAACTTCCTTATCTCTTTAATTACATAATTGAAAGCATTAAATTTATTTAGCAGTCATTATTTGGTAACAAAGCCACCGCTGGAACTGCCACCTATTAGCAAGTAGAAGAGTTACCACGCTAAATTTTATAGCTGGAAGCCGGCTAAGGAGACCCTGCTTCCATTCGGGTTGTCAATTTCCAGCATTTAAGTAGCAGTCTGTAGTGATACGCTATATTGTCTGTGCTTATATTATCAAAAATAAAACACATATTTCTTAAACTTATGATTTTAGCACCTTTTTGTTCAAAGTGTTGGATATTTCATATTATTAGCACTAATTACTTCTCATTGCTACTAATTACTACTAATTTCTACTAATTCCTACTAGTTACATCTAATTATTAGTATTATATAGTATCTGTAATTTTCTTCTCTTTTAGTGCCTGCCCCATACTTGGTACCTACCCTGCGACTTCCATTATTTTATCGTGGCTATTGGACTGGTCTTAATTATCAGGAAAGATAAGAAATACGGTTTGGCAATGGTCTTTATTTTAACTATTGTTTCATTTTTAATACCGTTCGTGCTCATCCTAGTATACGAAAGTTCGGCCTTTCTTAGATTCCTGCCTGATTTTCTGCGACACCCAAAAACGCATAGGGATTATGAGCTGCTCTATATCAAGTCCCATGTTAGAGCTACGCCGTATTTCATAGGGATGTTAGCTGGCTACACGTATTATAGAATGAAAGGATCTGGAAGGATACTTTCTACGGTAAAAACGATTTATTTCATGATTTAATTAACTACTTATACAGGGTAAGTTCTATGACAAACTTTGACTGATTATTGTAACGTGTGATGGTAATAGTTCAAATAATTAGGTGAATATTACAGGGTCTAACGGCACTTGGAGTGTACGATAATTCAATAAACACAGAAATCTACAAACAAAATTAGATAAATTTGGAACGAATACATTGAAGATGAATTTTTCAAGACAAAACGTCTGAATCTAGTTCGGGCTAAGGCAGTACAATATTGGGGGTCATAAAAGCTTGCAAACAATGTAATAAAATTTCCAGGGTCGTATTTAAAAATATGGAGTTGATGATGGTCCTGGAGAAACGAAACGTTGCATATAAAAATTGATTATGCCATTCGATAGAGGGCAAAAAGTTGCCTTGAGAAAGTGTTCTTTTTTCAATATCGCCTCAAACAAAGCTGAAATGAACCAAAAACGGATTTCCATATTTCCGTTTTTTTTTCAAATATTTCGAAAACTAATGATGTTAGCCTTGATTTTTTAGATGTTGGTCCCATGATTACGCAACTTTGCCCTCATTTAATTTAGTTCGTATCTCTTACCATTTCCGAGATCCCTGTAGTGAGAAGCGAATTTGTAACAGCCTGTATAAAGACAATATCTGCATAATACTCTTCGGTTGTAAATAAATCAATTTTTTTATTTAGCATTTTAACGCGAACGGTAAGTATCACATTAATTATTGTTATAGCAACCATATTTTTTATTTATCAGGCTACTTTGATTGAAATTTGAAATTTATAAATTTTTTTAATGTATTGGACATAATAATAATAATAAATATTATTTCCTGTAAGACAATTACAATAACTGTATAGGAATAGTCAATTGTAAATACCACGAGGGTCTTAAACCTTAGGACACTATAAATAACAAACAAAAAAAAACAAAACAAGTATAGATAAATAAACAAATAACATAAAATAACCACTAAATCCGGCACATGTAAATAACAACCTTAATTTAATACTAATCTGCATAAAATTCCTTTAAGCTATAAAAGCATCTGTCAATTAGATATTTTTTAAGCATAGATTTAAAATGATTCACATATCTTATTTCCCTTAAATCAGATGGGAGCTTATTAAAAATTTGTAAACCCATGTTGTCTGGTGAATTACGAGATACATTGTATTTACAAAATGGCAAATAAAATGTATTTTTTTGTCTAGTATTTACGTTGTGTATATCTTTGATTAGTTTGTGGTCACCCACCCTCTTAAAAACCTGCATACATAATTCATAGATAAAAACACAAGTAAGCGTTAAAATCTTAAAACTTTTAAAAATTTCTCTACAGGAATAAAATCTGGAGACACCGGCTATACATCTTAAAATTCTTTTCTGCGATATAAATACATCCGACGCCAGAGAGGAGCCACCCCAAAAGATCACTCCATAACCCAGACGTGATCCCACCTGCGCATGATACAAACTTATCAGTTGTTCCTTAAATAAAATAGGTTTCACATTTCTAAACAAATAACATACTGAATTTAATTTTGTAGTTAGGTCTGTCAGCTTAAACACTCGTCAATGACAACACCTAAAAATTTTATGTGATCCACGGAGTCCACTACAGATTCGTTGATCTTAATATTTAATTTAGAACATTTTTTTTTGTCTATTGTGAAATCGAATAGTTTTAGTTTTTTTGTTGTTCAGATAAAGATTATTCGAGTTATACCAACCGGTCACTCTTTGCAATGCTAAGTTACATTCCGCCTCCAATTCTATATCTGATTATAATAACATATGTTCATATAAAAAAAATGTTTCAAATTAACCCAGCTACCATCTCTCAATGTTGTCATAGACCTTGTAGAACACCCTGTATGTTGCAAAATTCATGCCTCAATGTCTTACTGTGTCATTCTTTTAGCGTTACACAACAGTCTTAGCCTTGCTTTCCGTCTTTCTTCTGATGGTATGCATGTACGGTGGAGTCGTTTTCTATGACCCCTACCATAAGTACAACGCTTTAGAGTCTGCTTCTTACGGAGCCCTTCACAGGACCATATGGGCCCTTGGAAGTTTTGGAATAATGTACACTGTCAGTTTTGGCACGTTTACATTCCTGCATAAGTGTCTGTCGTGGAGTCCGTGGATTCCGTTGAGCAAATTGGTTTTCGGAGCGTATTTGTGGCACTTCTTATTCCAGATAAGGGCGCTGGGCAAAGAGAACAGCACGATGGTTTTTAATTTCTTCGATGTGGTAAGTTAAGTTACAATTTTTTTGTATTAGTTGCGGATATGTTTAAGTTTCTTGTTTTTGAGCAAACAAATACAGAGTTAAAAAAGGAGCAAAATAAATTATTAAAAGTAGTGGTAGAACTGGTTCACCAAGTCCAATTGTCCAATCCACCTTTATTCGTAAGCTTCATTTAATTATTCTCAAACTGGTAATGGGAAATGAGAGGAACATAATCGTGCATCATCCACAAACCTCGCCTGAGATTCTGGGGAACGTCTTCAATAAGTAATGGCGGTAACAGCTCTCTTTAAAAGTGTTCTAAGGGAATTTACCAATAAGAATGTTTTGCAAATATAATCAATGCTATAATGGGGATATGTCTTACAATATCATATGCCAAATTAAAAAAATTATTTTGTTACAGTCAGCGTTTTGCTGAAACAACAGGGCATCTCTTTAGGCTGAGTAGATAAATTTTTTGAAAAATTAAGTTTCTTCTAAATTCCAGTTTCTTACTACTACTAAACTAAACTCTTTACCAACGTACAATAACTGTCAAGAACCTAACATTAACTGTTCCAAATTTATATTTTAAATATTAATATATGTTTTAAATTTTCAACACCCTGTATTTCGGAATCTGAGCGTTTCCGACCAAAGTCATGTTTATAGGAACTTATAAGTGGAATAAGTTATCTATGTACCTATAGTGGAAAAAATCCTAGAAAAAATGTACCTACTCGCCGTAAGAGGGTGCCTGTCCTCTTCTTGTAAAGCATCGATTTCAGATTGTTAAGGTGTTAGCAAAGTACCTATTTAATGCATATATTTTTTAAAGTTAATTAATTTCTTCTTATGGGTATGTTTATATGAACTATTTTCTTATTTCCAGAACTATTCTTTGCTTTAAAAATTTTGCACGCTTTTTTACACCTTTTTTGTACGATATTCTGTATTTTTGATATTTGCTAAAATTATTGAATGGCAGGAACAGTTAGACAAGAAAACCTTGCATTCGTGGGAGAAATTTTCCGACTCGATTATAAACAATAAAATTCCTATGCACTATGCCTCTAAAATTGATAGTTTTAAAGTTATAAACAATTTAAGTTGCTAAAAATGCGAAACTGACGATTTTCAACGGACAATTTCCGGGTTAAAAATTGTTATTTTTGATGTTGCCAGGTACCTAAATTAAAGCTTGAATATCCCCCTATAAGATGCTGAAGAGTTTTTGGGACACTCATTATTTTAAAGCCTTGTTTTTTAATTGTGAATAATGCGCTATGAGCTTCTTTACAAACGTAGGTACCTACATATGGAAAAGTTCCATTTTTCCTCAATATCAATATTTGGATTCCACAGCTTTTGGTTATCAAAATGAAACAGGTGAATTATTACCTAAATTTATTACCAAAGATCCATTACCCAAAGACTTAGTTAAACAATGTAAATGTACAAAAAACTGTAAGACTAAAGCTTGTTCTTGTAGGAGTAGTAATAGTACTCAGAATGCTAAATTCAAAGAACAAAAGCTGAAGGCGCTAGACGAAATAGCGAATCCGCGTATAAGAGATGCGCGCGCGGCTCATAACGCTTTATTAACAATTAAAAAACAAGGCTTTAGAATAATGCGAGTCCTAAAAACTCTTCAGCATCTTGTAGGAGGATGTTTAAACTTTAATTTAGGTACCTGGTAACATCTAAAATAACAATTTTTAACCCGAAAATCGGGCGTTGAAAATCGTAATTTTTGCATTTTTAGCAACTTAAATTGTTTAACTTTAAAACTGTCGGAAAATGGAGTCGGAAAATTTCTCTGCCATTCAATAATTTTAGCAAATATCAAAAATACAAATTTTTACAATTTGTTTAAAAACCCCATATTCTTTAAATAGTGTTTTCCCCAAAGACTAATAATTTCAAACATTTAATAACTGAATAATCTAAAGCTAACCAAATAATAGGAATGTTATGTCATGCCACCTGAGTATTTTCAAAGACGCCGCAGTAAAACGAATAAACAGGTGCAAAAAACGATCAAACCATCAAGGTTTTAGGTACTGAAATCTACGAAAATACTAACTTTTTTATATATAATTCCACATGTAAATATTCTTATAAAATTTACTTGCTTAGTCCTACATATAAAATTGTTTACTTTTATTTATAAGTACGTGAAAATAATTCTTAAAATGTGGGGTTAGAATAACAGCAAACGCATGTTTTACAAACGCTTTTTTTTTAGTTATTATTTTATTTGAGTAAATTAATGAATAAACAAAACATCAAGGATTTTATTTTTGTGCTTACTTTTGTTCTAAACGTTTTACTTTTAAAGATTTCAGTACCTAAAAACGCCAGAAATTTCACTGTTTCTCGGCCGGGAATATGGCCACCTTAAACAAATGGGCATCAGATTTCCGGCCGGTATCATCTGGATTCATGTTAAGGAACATCTATCTCACGAATCTGAATATGCAAAAACATAATCGAGTCGGAAAATTTCTCCCACGAATGCGAGGTTTTCGCCTTGTCTAAGTTCCAATCTTTCCAGATCTTAGCAAAATGTGGTTCTCTTTTAATAAATATAGGTTTGCTTCATCATGAGCATCACAAAAAGAAACTAATAAGCATCACCAATCAATTTTATATCGAAAAGTTCATATATGGGGAAAAAGATACACAAGTAACCGAAAATGTCATAAAAATCAAACAACTGAAAATATTAAATTTCCCTCGACACACTCGACACTTGAATTTATGTCGAAAATCGAGCTCAAAAATTTACCATTACCTGTTTTTCCTATCTGAATTTCTATAGAATTTGATTCATTTTGTATCTGTTGTTGTAGATTTTATATGGACTTGGGGACATATGTCTAGCATTTATGCTAGCTCTTGGACTTTATTTAACTGTGGAAACGCCCATGAGACGAATATTGAAGGAAATATTCTTTCCAAACAAACCAAAAAAAGATGAAATCAAAACTGAAGAATATTCTGCAACCACGAGGGAAGTTAGCAAAGTATAGCTTAAAATATCCATTGCGGTAGAATGTAGAGAAGAGGAAACTTGGAGGTGTTTATTACTACCCTAAATATTATTGTTACGTAAACGATTAATAACTTCTAACAAAGGGAGTAGAACTTAATAGACTTAGAATAATGTCTGTATCAGAAAAAAGCCTGAAATTGATAGTCTGCTTATTTTTTATACGTTAGGTATGAAAGATCTTCAATTAAATAAATGCTTTAATAAAAAAGAGTATATATTCCCTCCTACCTGAGAGAAAGGCTTAAAAAAGAGTGCAAAATATGAAATGATACAAGAATTACTGATTTTTTTAAATGTTTTTGTAACTGACCGTTTTACAGTCAAGGAAAATGATAAATCATTTTTTTTTACCTTGAATTGTCAATTGATGACAACTCATGATGAAATCGTAAGAATTTTTTTCGCATCATTTTATCGGAAAATTAAACAATTAGTTTTGTAGTATTATACTTCTACTTTTAAAATCCGGCTGAAAAATTAAAATCGGATCACCTACAACGCATCCAAAAAAGTTTTGCTTTAGTTAATATGAAATGTCAATCAGACATAATATATCGAAAAATTTAATTAAAACAATGTAACAAGCAACAATAGTCTTATGCTCTAAAGCTAAGTTTATAGAACAATATATATAAATCTTAATCGTCTTCTTCCTCTTCCTCCTCCTCTTCTTCTGCCTCTTCGCCCTCGGCTTCTTCGCCCATCGGAGGTGGTTTCGGTTTGGGCAAGTGGTCGATACGCCATTGTTCTTCGTCAGCGCCAGTAGGATCTAACATTTCCATAATTTCTGGCCCGATTGGATACTCTTGCTGTACGGGTGGTAGAGGCACAGGGGAAAAATTATGTTCCATGTATTTGTGACCATAGCCTTTTACAATAACAAATGAAGAATTGATGAAATGTGAAATAATAGGTTATTAAACTTACAGACTATGAGTTTCGTATATCTGCAACCAGAAAAACATGGTTTGGTTTAGCTCTTACCTACCTAGTTTTAGTTAATTGAAACATTCTCATTCCTTTATACGTTTTTCTGGATACGACTTTTGAAAGAAACCCAGTACGCTTTGGAAATTCAGAAAAATTCGATTTTATTCACCAGTAAAGTGCCATTTCTGTATGAGAGGCCTCCCTCTTTTTTCGGACTGATTTTAGAGTTTTTGGTTAGTGAACATTCTTTTCTGTAAGCGATACAGCAGAATGTCTTTATGAAAAGTTTATCAGAATGAAGAAATAAATATATGCAAAATGTTTGTCCTATCCTATGCCTACCTTAAGAAAAGTATAAAATCAAGCAAAATGTTTTTTTTTTCATCAATTCTCAATTTCTCATGATGAGAAAGTTTTTTTAATAGCATTATAAGTATCTCATGCAGAAGTGACACTTTGCTGGTGAACAAAGCCTAAATTTCCAAAACTTAAGTCCGTGACTTTTCGGATTTGAAATTATCATAGTTTTTGTTTCACAAATAAGCAGGACTGAAGCTCAGAAGGCAATTTTTAACATTTTTGTCTTTTACAAAAGTCATCGTATCATATATCCATAAACACACTGTATATCAAGTTCCATTTGTTCAGTTCTTTCATATCATGGATATATAGGGTGGCATATTTTTATAAAAAATGTATTCATAAGTTCGTTTTAAAGATAATATTATAATAATATTATATTTTTTTTTTTTCATTTTTGAAATTTAAAATAACAAAAAACAGTGGAATAGTATATAAATTTAAAGTAATACATGGAAATTCTTCTATTTATTCAGCAGTAGTGTGCGTATGGAGAATTTTAGAAGGGGTAAACAAGTTTTTTTCGTTTACATATTTTAAGTGTTTATTTTCAAACATTGTACTATTTTTATTCATATAAGTATTTAAGAGTTTTTAAATGATGTCATAAGTTTGATTGGATCAAGCATCCTAATAATAAACAAAAAATAATGTGTAGAAATTATCAATACCTAAGGGTAAGTAAAAACAATTGATAACAAGTATAATTCTAGCAAAAAAATTGATGAAAGTCTTCCATGATTACTAGAGCTTAAGTTTTTTGTTAAGCGTTTTGTTCGTTTCTATTAATTTATCACCTTTTCATTTTTGCATGAAATTATGTTTTTTCTTTTTAAAATAAAAAAAATGTAAAAAAATTCATTGATGATCTATTTCTGAAGAAGGGGTAGTCCCAGTGGTGAGCAAATGGGGAAATGTTTCTTTCATTAATTTTTGAATGTTGAAATTGGTATTTCATATGCTAAAATGCAACGTTTTACGTTTCTTCTTTTCAAGAATTCAGTATTTTTCAACCTAATTAGGTTCAGCTACCTAGATCTGACTCGCCCTGTATGTGACATTTTAAAACAATATTTCTACAACAAAGAGAATACAAAAAACATTCATTCTGCAGAACCACCATTGCGAGACTGAAAATTAATTTTGAAGAATTTGTAACAATACTTTCATGAAAAATTTGACAATGTTATAAAAATATATGTAATATAATGAATTTAATTACTTGAGATATCTTATATTTAGAAGTGTAATTATATCTCGACTGTTCTACCAAATCTACACAGCATTGTAACAGTATTATATAACTTCACTTTCAATTTATTCCTATTCCTATTAAACAGATTGTTGGTACTCGACGATGGTAAGTGATAGTTACTTCATGCAGCCTACTTGATAACTAATTTGCAGAACTACACCTTGTTTATGTATTATATACACAGTGACTCTAAAAGAATTTGAAGAGAATTTTTCGACTTTTGAATACATTTGTTTTTCACGGGATGAATAATGAGAATTAATTATTTTGTTATGGAAGAAATCACTTTATAAAATTCGAATCCAATCTTTTTACCCAGATATACGTTTCGGAATATCTTCCCCTGGTTTGAGAAGCAATAGGCACCCGGCCAAATATTGGATCTAACGACGGCGAGAGCATAATTCTCCAATATCTCAGAAGTGACTCTGAGACTCCAAGGTGGAACGGTTTCCAGCACTGCATCTTCAGAGAGAGGTGTCAGGAGCGGAGGTCCTGTTTCGGGTTCCATCCGTTCGCCTTTGGGTTTCGCTTCCTCTTCTTCTTCCCCGAAACCTTCCCCTGGCTCCTCTCCCAATTCAGGCATTGGATTTGGGTTCCACCAAGTGGTCCTACCTAGAATTTGTACCAAAGACAAATACTTAAGCTGTCAAAGTGGAAAATACTAATGACAAGAAGCTAAAAACGTCCAAGTGATTGGCACATATACAAGGTGTTGCAAAAGTATATACAAAAAATTCAGAGGTATTTTCCTTGGCAAATTTTAAGGCGAGACTCTTCATATACATTTTTTAATTAGTGCCTCCCTAAAAAACTTACAGTCCCTTAAAGGAGGGAAGAAAAATTGTTTTTTTTTTCTATTTTTCTCAAAGACTTATAAATAAACAAGCAAATTTTGGCAGGAACTTATAAAATGATATTTTACTGACATGTTTTTTGTTTTGCTCGTTTGCTATAAGGGGTGAAATAAACCACCCCTTCCATGTTTATTTTTCAAACCTTGTTATAATTTTAAATTTCTTAATCGCTATGAAATTCTAAGGTAGTTTTTTAGAAATTGTTTGACGTTTACACAAATTTCATATTACTCTGTTTTTAAGAAAAAAAAAAAAATAGAACTGTGCAAGATACGATATAAACTAAACTTTTGAGTTTTTGTGCAATTTATTCTTAGTAGGCTGCTGTAAGAGACAAAAAGTATATCTGAATAAACAGAACTACCTTAGTATTTTATTTCGATTAAGATATTCAAAAGTATAAGAAAATTTGAAAAATAAACGAGGAAGGGGTGGTTTATTTCAACCCCTTATAGCAAACCAGGAAAACGGAAAATATGCCAATGAAATATCATTTTATATTACTTTCCTGCCAAAATTCGTTTGTTTATTTATATTCGACTGTTTTTGAGACAAATTGAAAAAACTGGATGTTACTCGCCTCCTTTAAAGGGCTGTAACTTTCTAGGGGAGGCTACAATAAAAAAAATTGGCAAATCCCCCTTTAAATTTTCCAAGAAAAAGTACTTATGCAACACCCTGTATAAAAATTAGTAAACGTTTTTACATAAAATGTATTCCACCTTTGATGCCTGAAGAGTAAAACATTTCATACTTGTAAATTTATGAGAAAATGTCATTTTTTAAAAAACAATCCTGCATGCCCTTAAATCCTTAGAAATGTTACTACCTTCTTGGTTTTATATACGGGGTAATTAATTTATTGAAACAACAGGAAATTTTTTAAAAATATCAAAGATAGAAGTAGATACAACTAAAAATATTGTTAGAAAATCCAAGAAAGTCTTCACTGCAGAGTTTCAAGTGTTTTTTTTTATCCATTTGAGTTATTCTGAAATCTGAAATATTATTTGGTATTATAACCTTAAAATTCTAGATGATTCCCAACACTCTGTACATATCAGGAAACAAAACAATTTCCAATTTTATTACACCAAGCAGGACTTCATCGTCCAAAGTAACTTTAAATACAATTCAGTCGTACTGCGATAAAGAGGCAGGGGAAGAAGGTTTATCTGGTGAACACTTTTGCCAAGTCTACTTAATTCTCACGCTTTTCTTCTATGATAATCCTTCGATGATTTCCAAAGTCTCTTTAATCGGTACTTTTACAAACAAAAGCATCATCTAGATCAAATTGGATTATTCTCTTGACCTTTTCAGTAAAATCTGCAGCGTTTTTGACATGGCGTTCTGTCGTTCCTATCAAGAATTTAATTTGAAGTGACACATACTGGGCGAGTGGATGAGTGGCTGATCCAACTGCACTCACTATTGGTTGGAGTAGTATATTCAATTTCTACACCTTTGGAAGGCAAAAAAGTTGAAATGTTCTCGAATCACTCGAAATAAAATCCCTTAGGAACGTCAGGTGCTCGAATCGCAGACGCCTGCTCTTTCTCAACTTTCTTGATTGGGTTGTTCTCTCTCCAAATGTCAAGATGTCTAAACGGACGACGTGGCAACTAATTCAAAAATTATTCAACCATTGACAAATGACACATTTGAAACAGAAGATTTGGGCTATACAAAGAATCCATAGAAGTAATTTCATCCGAGACGACTTGGAACTGCCTGGAATTAAGACACGAGTCTTACGTAAAAATAAAAAACCAGAAGACCACAAACCAGTGATTTCGAACTAAAAGTCTATGAACCAGTTCATAGAGCAAATGCAAATAAAAGGTTTCTTAATCTTCAATTTCAAAATTTCTTCTGAAGGAAAATATATATCCAAAATCGCCAAGAATGAGATCTGACAATGAACCTAAAAATTGGTCTAAAATACTATGGAGCAGTTGTCATAACAAATATAGATACAGCGTAGTAAAAAAGTTCTGCATAAAATTCATATTTTCGTTAAACAATTTTTTTTTTCGAAAAACGGTGAGACCCGTCGATTTTTATTTGATCCAGGGCACCTTGTTATTGTGGAAAAATTTTTTTTTCGATAATCTACTTACGGCAGCGATGACATAATTTTTTTTTAAATGACAACGCATATTTTTTTCGTTCGAAATTGATGACAGTGATAATTATCTAAACAACGGTGTGAAAATTTCGATGTCTTACATAACAATTTTTTTTAGAAAAATGCACCTTAAGTTCTTATAAGTGATAATTGTCTACTTACACTATTAATGGCTCCGAAAAGGACAAAGTTGACAAAATTACATTTCAAACGAGTAAAATTACACTAATGTTTGTGTAAGTCTAGCGAAATTGTTCGAATTGCCCACCCTGTACCATTTGGCATTGTCCTAAGCGTGTGTAAACGCCGTCTACACTTCGTTCAAGCATTCCCGGGTCGATTTGATTTATTTCAAAACGAATACGGTTTTTAAGTTCTTCCAAATCACCTGGTCTGTTTGTGTACACACGCGATTTCAAATAGCCCCACAAAAAAAAGTCTAGAGGTGTTAAATCAGGCGAACGCGGAGGCCACTCGATTGTTCCGCGTCGCCCGATCCACCGGCCAGTAAACGTGTTATTCAAGTACTCCCGTACTTGCACTCCATAATGGGGCGGTGCACCATCCTGCTGAAACCAAATTCTTTCCTCAGGAATATCAGGATCCTCGTTGTTCGGGAATAACTCTGCTAAGCTTGGGACCAAATCGAACCGCAGGAAATCCAAATAGCGAGCAGCAGTTAAATTTTCCTCGAAAAAATACGGGCCTAAAATACGACGCCCTATTATTCCCGCCCAAACGTTCACCTTTCGGGGGTGCTGATGATCTACTTCTTGCACCCAGTGCGGGTTTTCCTGAGACCAATACCGGCAGTTATGTCGATGCACCGATCCATTAAGATAAAAAGTAGCCTCGTCAGAAAAAATTATGTTCTTGAGGAAGTCGGGGTCTCCGTTACATCGATGCATTAAATCTTCACAAAAGTGGAGACGGCGGTCTGGGTCGTCCTCAGTCAATGCATGTATCAAGTGACCCTTATAGGGGTGAAATTTCTCTTTTTTGAGAAAGTTCACCACAGTTACATGTGAAATATCATTGTTCAATGCAATCGACCTTGTACTAGAATGAGGGTTGTCCTGGAGCTCCACCAGGATATTCAATCTAGTTTCATCATCTACTCTAGGACGACCCGCACGAGGAGCATCTTTCACACTACCAGTTTCCTCAAACCTTGCCAGTACCCTACTAACCGTAGATTGCGTAATTGGTGGTCTGTCAGGGTACGTTGCATTAAATAATTGGCAAGCTTCTTGATGGGTTCGTAACTTATCGCCGAAACCAATCATCCTCAAAATATCAATTCTTTCGCGTTCACTAAGTTTTGCCATTTCGAATTAAACGATTTCACCAAAGAATGTTAAATCGGTACTGATTTTTAGTCTTCAATATTTCAGGTAATCTACTCCTTTCAAGTAAACATTTCTTTGGATCTTTTTTTTTTAGGAATTTATCGGCAAACTCGAAGACAAAAAGTCGACCTTAATTTGCTACATACTATTTGGATTTTGTGCGGTTGAACTTGGTTCTAAATTTTGCAGTTTAATCAGGATCCTGACAATATCTGATGAATAATTCCGCAAATATTACATAACACCAGTTGCAACTTAAGTTATCTGAAATGCTTTCTGCCGAATAAATTTTTTTCTAAGGCATTTGATCCGTAAACAGCAAATTATTGCATTCAAGAACTTAAGGTGCATTTTTCTAAAAAAAATTGTTATGTAAGACATCGAAATTTTCACACCGTTGTTTAGATAATTATCACTGTCATCAATTTCGAACGAAAAAAATATGCGTTGTCATTTAAAAAAAAATTATGTCATCGCTGCCGTAAGTGGATTATCGAAAAAAAAAATTTCCACATAACAAGGTGCCCTGTATCAAATAAAAATCGACGGGTCTCACCGTTTTTCGAAAAAAAAATTGTTTAACGAAAATATGAATTTTATGCAGAACTTTTTTACCACGCTGTATATGTAAGAAGTCTAAAGGAAGGCGCATCAATGGATCAAGAAAATATTCAGTGACAAATGTCACTGGAATTCTGCAAACCAGAGTAGTTTTTTTTATACTTTTTTAACAGTCTGATATTAAATAACTACCCAGCTATGCAACAGACCAGTTAAAAAGGTAAAAAAACCTAGAAATTAAGTCAGAATATAATGTTGAAGTAGAAGGGAGTGACATAAGGCAAGCTGTTGTAAAAAATGAACCATTTTATACCTACAAGTCAAGCTCTAACCCCCACAAGTATTTCCTGGTTTTATGCATTTAGCCAAATGCGTTTGGTTCAAATTGTATCGTAGGTATAGAAAATCTTATTTAATTGTGTTACCTTGTGGGAGGATATAAGCTTCGCTGTGTACCCAAAATGACATGGAAGTATCCAACAAGTCCCTTAAAGGAGGAGGATCGTATTTAGGATTGACTTTGTAACTGGTTTTTGCTTCACCACCGGCCGCCTCTTCGGCTTCTTCCTCTTCTTCATCTTCGCCAGCTTCCGCTCCTCCGAAGGTGTAGTAGCCAAGTGGAGCTATCTTAGTACCTTGGAATGAAAAATTTTTAATAATTGTTTGAATTTTCCATTTACTGCGTCATTACCAGCGGTTATCCTAGCTATTTGAGCCCGCAAGTATTCCTTCTCCAGTCCTGGGAACTCTGGATAAGTGAGAACAGGCGCGTCGAGGGTACCCGTGAAGGATTTGTAGATCTCGCGGGCTACTCTTATTTGTTTGGGATTTGCATCTGGAAGCTCCACCCAGGGTTCTCCAATGTCGTTGCAGACATAGTAAACCTTAATAAATGACCCAAGAGTTAACAGTATATTACACAATAAGTGTGGTAAAAATCCAGTTACTACGAGTAATGTAATGGGAGTCTCAAACTCGATAGTGTGGTCAGTATACAAAAAGTTTAAATAAAATTTGGAACACGTGGTGTTAAACGGGATGAGGTAAGCTCCATTTTCAACAGAAAGTATTATCTTTGGGATTTGGCAAAAACGATTAATAACGTCTTCAATTATATTTTTTCCAGAAACATACCCAACATTTTTTTCGTGTTAAAAAGCTCTCTTTTTTCAGCATTACTTTCCGTTTAGAAGTTATAAGTAATATCGTCCTAAAGAGTCTCAAAAGAAATGTCACCTAAAAATCACAAAATTTCAAAATGGCGGCGAAACCAAGACGGCGGACGAAATTTTTGAAAGTTAACCGATTGTCACCAAATTTTGTATACGGAGGTTTTCGAGGTCGCTGATCACAAATACGCGGTCAGATTTTTAAAATTCAAGATGGCGGATCCAAGATGGTGGATGGGGTTTTTTAAATTTAATATCAATGGGTACCAAATTTGATATACGGAGGTTTTGGGGGTCACTGACCCCACATTCATGATCAGCAACCCCAAAAACAGCCGTATACCATCTTTGATGCAAATCGACTGATTATCAAAAAATTCGTCCGCCATCTTGAATTTTGCAAATTTAACTTCGGATTCGTGATCAGCGTCCCCAAAAACCCCCATATACAACGTTTCTGCAAATCGGTTGATTTTCGAAAAATTCGTCAGCCATATTGGATCCGCCATCTTGATTTTTTAAATTCGACCTCGAATTCGTAATCAGCGACCTCGAAAACCTCCGTATACAAAATTTGGTGACAGTCGATTAACTTTCAAAAATTTCGTCCGCCATCTTGATTTCGCCGCCATTTAAAAATTTTTGAAATGGTCAAGGTCATGTCTGAACGTAAAATTTTCGCTCTTTCTATTTCCAAGGTCAAAAAGGGGGGTTGCCATTTAAAAAAATCGTCTTGATCCCATAATGATCACGTGGTCAATAGTCATGACATGGTCACCATTGAATAGCCAGAGAAAAATCCTAACTTTCACTATATTTGTTTTTTTCGGAAAATGCATATCTCGCAAGATTTTTTGGTGTACCCATACTTTTATGGCACCCTGTATATTTTACTGCGTCTTGTGGTTAATTTAAAAAAAAATGAATTCAAACGATTTTGAAAGAAAGGTATCAGAAACAGGGAAAAATGTATGCAATGTAGTTCTACATTCAAAAATTAGAAAAGTAATGAATATTCCATGTCATTTTAAATAAGTGGCATTTAAAATAAATGGGTTTAAATTTCCTGAGAATTCACGTAAATAGTTATTACGTAACAAAAATGTAAAATTATACTTTATCCAACGAATTTGGATACTGCGAATCCTGATTCTAGAGATAAAAATAAGAATATGACATTTAGGAATTTATTAAATTAAAACAACAAACCACTTGAATCAAACCTCAAATGTTATTTTCATGTGAGAGCAACAATAAAACAACGTGTTTACTAGATTAGTAGGTCCCTCCTTACAGGATAATACCAGAACGGCAACAAAGGACGCAGATTTGTGAAAGTTTCACCGCATATTGCGTACAGACAAAATCGTAATTTCTAATTGATAGTCGAAACAGTTATATTTAAAGAGGAAAAATAAATGTATGTACTTCTATCCCTCTTTTTATCTTTCTCTCTAGGAAATCTCCTTGCAATTTCTTACTATTTCAAAGAAATGCTGTAAAATATTAACTTTTGCTTTTTTGATGGAACACTAAAAAATCTAAAACCAAACAAAGAATCAAAGTACGCGTAAGTCATTGAAATTTTACGTTCTTCTTTAAATTGTCATTCTAAGAAGGTTAATAATTTATCATATTGATACAGAAATAGCACTCTACTAGTGAAAAAAAAAAACAGATTTTTCCAGGTTTACTGGATTTTACGGATTTGAAATAATGACAGATTTTGTCAGATGAATCCCAAAAGGTCATTCTCCAAAACCAACATTTTTTGTCTTTAACAGAAATCAATTCACCTGTTCAGGGACACGCTGTATAAAGTGATAAAATGGCGACTATTAAATTAGAAATTTTGAATTACTTCAGCAGGGATTCTTTCTAATTACCTTTTTGTTTACACCAACTCCAGACGGTTCCGGTGGTGCTTCGGGAGGTTCCTGATATTGTATCACTGGTTCCGGTGGCAAAGTCCTAGGATACTTAGTTTTGCGTTCTTCCCCTTCCCCTTCTAGCTCATTCCGTTTCTCTATTTCCAACAGAGCGGCTGTAGTATTATCACCTTCGATTTTAAGGCCTAATTCGTCTTGCACCTTAGGTTTGTCCTGTTCTTCTTGGTAATGCTAAAAAGTCAGCGCTAATGTTATGTGGTACTTTTAGAACTCTATTAGCAATCATAAAAATTCAGAAGGCTATTTGGGATACCATTAACGATTTGGAAAGAAAATAAAACCCAGTGTCAATCCAATGCTACCCTCTTAGAAATTTATTTTTTTTTGGTTAATGCACTATCTATAATAATTTATACAGGGTGAATTATTATTAAATTATAATTTTGTTTAAATAATGATAAAAGATGCAAAAGTAACGCACACAAGTCTTGTAATAAAACAAGAATAGTGTTTCGTTTTAGCCTATTTTATTTAGTTTATTTACAATTTCTAAACATTATTATTATTATTTCATTAATAACAATTAAAATCATATGAAATTGAACCAGAAAGTAATCACTCCTTTCACAAACAAGTAGAATTCACGAAAAAAAGTACATCTGAAATAGAATTCAACAAATAAATCTGAAAGGCACTGTTAAAAATGACTACAACCTCTTCTGTCTTTAAATATCAAATATTACTAATATTTCGCATCCAGCAAGTGCTAATAATTAAGAAATTTTGACACCGTATTTATAACTGGCAGTTTTTGAAGCAAATTCAATTATTGTGTTTTGTTTTTGTACAATTATTCACATCCAGGACGAATACCAGCAACAACACTTATTTTGTTACACTGTTACACTACACTACACTATGTATATCTCTGTTTAAAAAAATGTCCCTGTAATTCCAATTTAAAGCAACTAGAAAACCAACGAAGAGACTTAAGAGAGAAAAAGGAAATAGAGAATAGTTACTTGCTTACCTCATTCCTTTTCATATGCTCATCTTCTTTCAATTCTGCTTCCACGATGAGATAGTTGCTCAACGTACCAAAGATTTTTCCCCAAAATCTAAAGACAAGGTGCTAGTGAGAGACTGAAAAACTGTTTTAGGTTATTTTTACCGTATAGATGATATAGGTTTTGTATGAGCAAGATTCCTCATCGAAATCATGACGAATATCATTTCTGGTCTGGGTAATCCAATGCCGCATTGTTCCAAGTAATAGAGAAGTTCTAGCAAATTATTCTGGGACATATCAGCAAGTTCCAAATCTTCTGGATCCACCGTAGAAGGTTCACCAGGTGGTAAAGCCTAAAAAATGATCACTCGTAGTTCGTAAATTTTCCAGATCAAGTTTTTAACTCTATGATGTTTTTTCTTAGTAAAAGGTAATGTTTTTCTACTCTGCCATTTTTACAGTTTTTTGAGACGAAGACATGTCAATTTTAATAAACGTATCTAATATTAATGATGAAATATTTTAAATTATGTTATCATGTCAAACAGTACCAATAAATTATAATAATTTTCAGAAATAATCTAGATATTTTAAACATTTAAATAAGGTAACTAGACTTAGGGAAAACTTAAAAAAAACTGTTAAAAAATTAGTGAATGGGAGAGAAAGTATCGACAATTAAAATTTAACCTTTATTGAAAAAATACGAGCGTAAGCAAATTTTTTAATAACTATAAAATTTATATTAAGAAATTATATAATGTGGGATACAGGTATTCGAATGAGTCGATGTAAAGAACAATCACTTCTTAAAATGAAACTGAAAGTAATATCTATAACCGAATCAGAAATGCAGGTACCTACCTATGAAATAATTAAAAATATTCGCTAACTTCAATACAGTGTGTCTGGTCAATAATGGTATATATTTCAAAGGTAGGTTCTTTAAATAAAACGAAACTATTTAGGTTAGGTTATCTCAATAAAATTTAGTTACGGCCCTAAAATATTTTTAATTTTTTTTTTAAGCAAAAGAACAAACATACAAACAAAATATTTTAGTCCAGTAACCACATGAATTTACATGGAAAAATTTGCGGAAGTTTTGATATTTGGTACGCCATTACCGTGAGAAAGTAAAATAACTCCCTTGTTATTCATAATATAGAAAAAAAGTTTATATAAAAGTTGTACAAAATCAAAAACCTAAAGGACTAAATTAATTTGAAACATACAGGGCGATGAGTAAAACAGAACACGCCAAATATTACATTTTTTAAATAGAACACCCTGTATATTTTTAAACATATGGATTTCTAAGAAAATTCTATATAAGGCAATATAAACAGTTTAACATTTTAGTGCGGGGTTGCCAAGTTATGTAGAAAATTCTTCGAAATTTTGGAAAAAACATGATATCGAAGAAGTTGTATTAACTTTCAACTACTAACACTTGGAGCAAAAATATTTGACAGAGTTATAGGCAAATGTTAGGCAAAGACTCCTATATTAGCTAATATCGATATTTTATAATACGATCTTTTTAAGAAAATTCAAACTTGATTTTCTAAAATTTTTCAAATAGAACACCCTGTATTTATTGTTCTATTTTATTCACATATCAGTCCACTTCAACTTTTATTAAGTGTGTTCTACACCTAAAGTTGTTAGTTTTTAAGATATAACAACATTTCTGGAAAAAACAATTTTTTTAATTTCGGTGGCACGAAATGGCATTGGAAAAAACTATCACATTGAGTCAACTTGTCAGTTAATAATTTATCATTCCATTTTGAGATAATTTTAACAGTTAATATTTATTTGTGGTATTCTATAAAATAATGATAAGATTTTTGAAGAAAAAGTTTATGAATTGGTTTATTTTCACTTAAGGAAGCTTACTTGAAGCTCATTTTTAACCAGACGCCTTGTATAACCAACGGCACGCATAATTATAAGTAAAAGGAAATGAGAGCCGTTTAAAGATACAACATATATTCATGATTTAATTGATGGGAATTGCATGGAAATTGCAATTAATATTCACCAACTAAATAAATAATCAACTTATGGCCCTATAAATCTCACAGACTTATAATTTAAACTTAAAGTTTTACTGTGGCAATTTTAAGGAAAAATTAATTACATTAAAAGAAGTAAACGATTTTTATAAATAGCTAGAATAACAATTTTTTAAATAAACAGCAACTGATACAGACTTGTTGCTACATATTTGACTTCGTTGTTTTACAACTGAACTAATTATATTATCATCGATAACAATCTCTAATTTAAAACCAGATAATCTTAAATGCGCAAATAATACCTACTCTAATGATTCATTTAATATCGTTTGTCTGCTAACCAACATCGGAAAAAAATGTAGCCTTCATATGGCTACACTTTTGTCAACAAAAACTTGATTGAATTTTTGCCTAATAAATATTTGTAGACTCGACAATGTGTAATTCCTTTTACATGCACGTAAAATGCGTTTCTGTCTAGATTACAGAGTAGTTTTACCAGGAATAATTTATTTACTAATTAATATTAATTAAGTTATGATTGTATAATTACAAATCTACCTCTTTGTTACATTTGCAATTGCAATAACCGAGTCACGCAAATATATACGGTTTGAGCAGCCTGATCCAATTTAACTATTCATGCGAATTAATCCGTCTGGATCAATTTGAGCCCTATAAATTTTTAGCGAATATATACGTCTGGAGCAGTGAAAGGGTTAATATTAAGTTGCAAATATATTTATAAGACAGTTGCTTAGAGACAATTTTCTTTATCTTTATTAATAAACAAATATCTTGATTAAGCCAGTTTGAAACATTAGGCAATGAGAACAATTTCAGGTTAAACTACTTATAAAATAATAAAATATTAAACTGTATTTTCAATGGAACACCATGTATATTTGTACCATTTTAATTCTGTCTTTTTAATAGTATATAAATGTCACATATACAGGGTGTCCCTGAAAAGGATGGACAACGCTTGACCACAGGAACCTTGGATGAAAATAAGACTATTTAGCCTAACTTGCCTATATACAAACATGCACGCCTACTGAGATATAGTCTTCTAAATATAGAATAGATAACCTAGTTTTTTTAAAAAATTTAAAAAGATTTGCTTTTTCTTGTTTACTTGAGCAGATTTTCGAAATAGGCGCAATGTACCTTCTATACATTTGCTTATCCGATGGATGTTTTCTCGTTGTACCTGAAACAAACACTCCAAGACTGTCTCTAATTTTGTTACAATGGTACTTTATTCTTTCTATCAGGTCTTCCCTGGCGTCGAATACACAAGCCTTCCCCAAAAAAAGAAATCCAATGGATTCATGTCGGGCGACCTCGGTGGCCATAAAATAGACCCACCTCGACCTATCCATTGATAACCAAAAATATTTGGTGGGGCGGTGCACCACCATGCATAAACTACATCTGATTTCTAATTTCTAACGGTACATTTTCTAATAAACCGTTTAAGCTTTGTTACAAGAATTGCAAATACCTACATGGCACCATTTAATCTGTCTTCAAAAAAAAAACGGTCCAATGAGATGATTCCCAATAATCCCCGCCCATATGTTAACCATGAACCTTTGTTGGTGCTTTGTACTATTGCATGGGGATTTTCTTCTTGCCAGGTATGCAAACGATGGCAATTTATTACTTCGTCGCAGGTGAAACCGGTTTCGTCCGTGAACAAAACAATACTAGTAAAATTTGGATTTTGCCTAAATCGTTGCAAAAACCAATTTGCATAATTGACTCTTGAAGCCTTGGTATGTACCTTTTGGACGTGATAAGGATGCAGCAGTTGTTCTCGAAGGGTCTCATGAACGGCACACTTTGTCGCATGAACTTGAACCGACAGCTTCAACACAACTGCCGAGTGCTTGTCCATAAATTAGATGCATGTCAGCACGACATAAAAACGACTGGTGTTTTATTGCAGTATTCTGATTTATTATTTCAATGAGGTGCTATACAAAAACTTCATTTCTTCGAAAACGGCTAATTTTATCGAAACAAATGTAGAGTACCTTATTTAAAGAGGAATGACGAAAATATTTAAAAATGCAGTTTTCAGCTTTATCAAATGACATCTGGGTACCCCTTTGGGGCTTTGTATCTCCTTTAAGGGGCACTTTAGGAAGTTTTTGTTTTATGACAAACTAGGATTATTTTGACCTCTCATATCCACTCCCTAGAGTACACCCAACCAGACACCCTGTATATTGGTCTTCCATAATGAACATAGTCAAAATTGCCATAAAACTATGAATGTGTATGTGTAATTTACTAAACAAACCAAAATATATTTTATTATAAACAGTGTTGTCCTCATTGATGGTACTTCGTACAATATTGTACTCTTAGATTATATAAATTACTAGATAATTCTTTGTTTACTTATATTTCAGTTCCTTATAGGAAGAACTACATGGGGATCAAATCAGGACTTCTTGCAAACTATAAAACCGTCCCTTTATAAGAGTAACGTAGTTAAAGGAATATTATTTGTCTAGAAAATACAATTACAAGACACCTTTTATAGTATCTACTGCATTCTTTTTCTTAACAAATTTCAAGATTTGTTTAATAAATTTAATAGGGGGAAAAATAGGATTACGCAAACTTTCAAAGCAAATATATGACATGTACTTATATATCGTTATAACTAGAAAAAAGAAATGATTCCAAAATAAGTTATGCAGTGTTCTATTAAAAAAAGCATAAGTTTGTCTTCTGATCTTCATAATGTAAAATTCAATCGTTCTTCTACATTTAATTGAAATTTCTAGAAAATTTTCAAGCCTCCAGTATTTACCATTTTTTTTTCTAGATAGGAGGAAAAGGTGGATCATCATGGCTTAAAAATAATTGAACGTAAAATTTAAAAAAAGGGTCTTCTCGAAAAATAAAAATCGGCATGTCAACATTTTTCGCAAAATTTATATGTTTCACTGTTCCTGACATTAGCAACGCACTGTATGTTATAGAGAAGTGTTATTTATATTTTAATTACACAATTTTCATAGTTCTTTTGAATAGTATAAAAATTTTGACTAACGAAAAAGTTACTTTTTTATGCGATTCCCAATTTTCCCTTAAAATTTTATACATATGTGATGATAACTTACTTTAAGTAATGGTAAAACTTTATTAGAAAGCGCAAATCTACCAGGTTGCACATATATGTCTTCCAAATGGTCAGTCAGCGGTTTGAATCTTTGCTCCTTTACTTTACGACTATATTCCTCAAAGAAGTCTATAACATTTTCTGGGCGTTCTGCCAAAATCTTGTTCAAAACTTCAGTCAAATGGTCATATCTATGAAAAAGTAATTGCTAATAAATCATTTTATTACAACTTTAATATCTAATGTTCCTCTGAATATGAACAATAGATATTGTTGATATGATATCTCTTCATATCATATCACAAATATGTTTAGAGCTAAACATAATTTTATATGTAAATGTGTATGCACGTTGACAAATATAATTTTGGTACATTTCAAAGTACACTTTTTCTTAATTAACAGATTTACCTATATTTTCTCTAATAATCAATTCTTTGTAGACTATTGGTGTGCCAAAATCACAGAATTTAATACACTTTTGGTCAAAACTCGAAGTGAACGACATTTTGGATCTCTTTAACAGTGTTTATCGAACTGTAAAAAATGTTTCAAATAAGAGTCTATTAAAAACTTATATTCAAAAAATTATAGATCATTTGTCAACAAACAATAAACAAATTTGCAAATATCTGACAAATTGCTTAATTTACAGAGCGAATGGAACAATAAATTGTTCAAAAGAACTCTTGAGACACATTTATAACTCTTAGGTAGAAGTAAATCTTTTTAATATATGACTTTTGATAAGAATGACTTGCAGCATCTCAATAACTTTCGGCTGGATTTGGTACCTGGAAATCACAGTTTTCTATACTCAAACACTGTACTTCATCTTTCTCTGAGCTTTTATTTTATGTAAGCATTATCTCTACCACCTGACTGATTGGTAACTACTTCAAGTGCTAAATAATTTATTAATAATATAATGTTTCATATCATGAATTTCTCCTTAACTCATAACCTATCGATACTATTGCAACAAGGATTTATTCCAAGTAGATCAGTAGATTTACTACTACCAGTCTATTAAGTGTAAATCAGTGGTTTCTTGCGTTTTATCGTAGAAATTCTATCGACGTTCTTACATATACTTCTCTAAAGCCTTCAACAGAATCCCCAGATACGACCTGCTCTTAAAGCTACATCATTTGAGAATTCGCGGACAACGAACACGTGGATTTAGTTATTTTGTCAATAAAACGATCCCTGTTCGTGCCGGATCAGATTTATACGCTTTTCATCATGCACGTTCTGGAATGCCATAAGGGCCTGTTCTTGGTCCACTTCTGTTTTTATTTCATTTAGCAGATTTTAATCACCTTATATCTCAATTTGTGCAGTCAAAAATGTATGAAAATTTTCTATAACGACACGATATCATTCAAAATAACCATCCGGATATTAAGTGTTAGTGCAGTCATTTGTTAATTCCATTAAACACAAATAAATGTACCATGCTTCACATGGGTAACAAAAATCCCCGCTACTCCCAAGTTAAAATAGTAAGGGAATAGAATAATTTGGGTTTGACAATAAATTCTTCTCCTGGTCCAGTTAGATCTCCAAAAACATGAAAAAGCTAATCGGAGATCCTACATATTATTCAAAGTTTTCAACGAATATGCTAATGTGACGTGGTAGCTTCGCTTTATTAGGGATATCAACCTTTTAGAGAATGTTTAACGAAGTTCCACATTACAAGTCTGTGCACTGAAGAATCAATATCATTCAAGAAAAGTTAGGTTATGGTTACGTGTATGTCAACTTTCTGATTTCTTGCTTTCTTTCTTCTAAGATTTGTAACAATTTTTTATATATGCCTAAAAGTAATATAATAGTATGAGTGCAATTTTTGTGTATTTGAAGAAAAGGTCATCGAAAAGGGAGAAAATTCTGTTTCCTCTGGTTACGTATAAAAATGCTTCATGATGGTGAACTTTCAGTTATTAGAGAAGAAGTTCAAGCCAGTATGAAGAGGAAAATATATACAGTCGATGTAAAGTGCTAGTTTACATACAATAAACCTGTAAAGAATATTCATCAATATAATAATGTTCCAATGCACCCACTTATAAATTGAACAATTTCTAACAATAAAACTTATGATGCGTCTTTCAATAACATCCCTTGTATCACTGAATGTAAATTATAAAACGTAAAAAGTTTTGAACATATGCAACATTTACACAGGTGCAAGTACAAATAAATTATTATATGAAGTGCCCATTTCACTAAGGTTACATATCAGTGATTGCCGTTATGCATTATATTATGTCCTTGTAATTTTCTCAGAAACATACTACCTACTTCTAGTGTAATGTCGTATAATCTGAACGAGCGAACTTCAGATTTCGACTATCTTTCGAATCCAAGTTCCAACGCCCGGAACAACGCTCCAATGCAAGCCCTCTATGTAAAACCTGAAGCTGTAACAAACATATTCCACAATGTTTCCAATCCCGAGCCCGAAGTCGCTATCAGAGGAGAAAGTAAAACTTTCACCCATGTTTCCAATCCAAACCTCAAAATCCAGCACCAAGCTCCAAGCCCGATTTCAAGCATAAGAAATCGAAGGCAAAGCATTAAATTGCATAATGTTTCTAACTCTGAAGCCGNGTCAAGATCGTGTATTAAACGCCTGTAAGAAGGCAACCGCTCTCTTACATACATGGCGGCGCACCCTTCTGAACGCTCAATCGCTATTTGTTTATAGCTTCAAATAACAGTGGAAAAAACAAATTTTCACACTGCAATTACTCATAATTTGTAGTATTTAACGTGAACTTTCAAACGCCGTCAGCAGAATTACAAAATACCTATTCAATCAAAAGTTATTAACGATTGAAAATCGCAAAAATCGCATTTTTCGAGTTTTTAACGGCGTTTATCTCGAAAACTATGCGTTTAACAAAAAAATTGCAAGAGACATTTTCTTCTTAAAATGGGTCAAATAACAGGAAAGTATTTTTATTTTGCCAAAAACTAAGTGTTCAGTATTTTGCAATTTTTTTGTTAATAAAAAACTTATCGACATCCGGGCAAACTTCTACCCAAAAAATTCGTGTTCTGCAGCTCAAAATACATAAAAAACTCTTGGGTAACTCCATCTAAATGAAGGTGGCAATTGGGACCCCCCTGGCTACAGGACTATATGGCCTTATAAACAAATTAACTAATTATTAGTCTGGGCGATCCCGAGAATCTTCCACAATCGCACTGATTTTTTACATGGTAGATTTTAATTTCAAATTTGCAACCCGGAATTTTTTTTTATTTTTTAGCCTTAGTTGCAAAATGAAATATACGACGCACGAGCGTGGTATATTATTACATATTCAGAAAGATTATGAAAAGAGCTTTAAGTAAAAAAAAAATCGTCAAGATTTGTTGAAAAACAAGGGAGTTACAAATTGTCAAAGTTGACGGCCTATTGTTAAGCAAATTAGGTTGGCAGCGGCAAAAAACATACTGTCATAACCGGCAACCCGAGTATTCTCCCAGGTAAAAATATTTTATTTTTGGAAGTATTTTAAGTGTATAAGAAATATTGTCAAAAGTCAGTGGGACGCTTGATTTTCGGCGAACCGTGGCGCGGCGGAAGGTTGTGGCAAGCGAATGACAGCGAGTCCGAAGAAAATGACGATAATATTCATAGTCCTGCCGTCAAATAAGCGAAATTCGCTTGAAAATAATATATTTGACAGTTTGTAACTCCGTTGTTTTTCAACGAATCTTGACAATTTTCTTTTTTAACTTAAAGCTCTTTTCATAAGCTTTCAGAATATTTAATATATAACTGTATCACGCTCGTGCGTCGTATATTTCATTTTGCAACTAAGGCTAAAAAATAAAAAAATTTCCAGGTTGCAAATTTAAATTAATAAAAAAATTATAAATNAGCTACATCTCGAGCAGAGTCCAGCGCGACAGCGCGAGAAGCATTTAACATGTCCAGAAACCCTGAGAGCCGCAACCTAATGGTAAGTGCAACACGGGATGATGAGGTACGACGACAGTAAGAACCACCACATAATATTGTGCGTTAGTGTAATACCACTTATCCCGATTCAAAACTAGAGAAAGATTAACTTTTTCCCTATTTTAATTAATTATCATAGTAGACTCAAAAGTTAAGTAAATCTGCGATTGGATACTGGAATATAATAAATCTGTTTTCTGTGTAGTGATTAACGAAACTTAACAATCTTCAATTCAGTTCTAGTTGCAGAGACAGTTTCTAGCTCTTTAAATACTATTTTTATGTTTTATGCTCAAAATACTTAATACTATAACAACAAAACTCACAGATTTTCGCCAGTGGCAGTGCTAGCCTTTTGCAAGAACGTCTTAGCGTTGTTGAATTCGGATTCAAATTGAGGTATCTGCAATGTTGATGGTTCGACATCCTCCTGCCCTTGTACATCATAATCGGAGATCATCCTGATCTTGACAGTGTAACTGACACTTATCAGTTTGGACGTATGATTGCTTGATTTTATGATGATGCAAGAAAAGTAAACAACGTAGAAGATACTATTAGGCCAGGAAAATAAGCTGGGAAATGATCATTTCGCGACTTTTTGTTTCGGCAAGCTGAATTTATCACTATACATGCTAAATATTATGTACAGTAACATATTAGTTTCCACAGTGATAAAAATGGGGCGAAGATTGTTTACAGGCTGGTTAATTGTATAATTTACAATTTCTCTATTTCTCTATATTGTAATTATTCTTTGTACTCCCATTCCGTACCTGGAATTTTGTTTCTGTGGAATGGTGTATCCAAAATAAATAAATAAATAATTTTTACCTAAATTCACGTTTTTCGCTTATAACTTTTTGACGTTCATTTCCACGGGAAAACAGTAAAGTATTTTTTTCGTCTTCAAAAGATCTACAAAACTAGCCCTCGAGCGCCAAAAAATATTGATTAGATCAAAATTTATAAACGGAAGAAGTTTATTTATGACTTTTGAATTAAACATTTATAAACTGCGTTATTATTACCAGAACGTTTTGGCATCGCATTCTCTCATTCCTTATTTATTATTCCTGTCACTCACACGAAACCTGGAATCGGTAAGTTGAATAGTATACAAATGATTAGTCCTGTAGCCACAGGGGTCCCAATTGCCTCCTTCATTTAGATGGAGTTATCCAAATGTTTTTTATGTATTTTGAGCTGCAGAACACGAATATTTTGGGTAGAAGTTTGTCCGGATATCGATAAGTTTTTTATTAACAAAAAAATTGCAAAATACTGAACACTTAGTTTTTGGCAAAATAAAAAGTACTTTCTTATTATTTAACCCATTTTAAGAAGAAAATGTCTCTTGCAATTTTTTTGTTAATCGCATAGTTTTCGAGATAAACGCCGTTAAATACTCGAAAAATGCGATTTTTGCGATTTTCAATTGTTAATAACTTTTGATTGAATAGGTATTTTGTAATTCTGCTGACGGCGTTTGAAAGTTCACGTTAAATACTACAAATTATGAGTAATTGCAGTGTGNTTTTTAACTTAAAGCTCTTTTCATAAGTTTTCCGAATATGTAATAATATATAACTATATCACGCTCGTGCGTCGTATATTTCATTTTGCAACTAAGGCTAAAAAATAAAAAAATTTCCAGGTTGCAAATTTAAATTAATAAAAAAATTATAAATTTCAATGTATTATTATGAAATCTACCACGAAAAAAATCAGTGCGATTGTGGAAGACGCTCGGGATCATCTAGACTAATAATTAGGTAATTTGTTTATAAGGCCATAACTTGTGAACTATTCAACTTACCGATTCCAGATTTCGTGTGAGTTATTAGACAGTGATAAGGAATGAGAGGATGCGCTGCCAAAACGTTCTGGTAATAATAACGCAGTTTATAAATGTTTAATTCAATAGTCATAAATAAACATTAGACCTTATCAATATTTTTTGACGCTCGAGGGCTAGTTTTGTAGGTCTTTTGAAAACGAAAAAAAAGTACTTTACTAATATAATTTACATAAAAATTATACAATTAACCACCCTGTAAACAATCTTCCCCCCATTTTTATGACTGTGGAAACTAATAGGTATGTTATTGTAGTTATTTAGCATCTATAGTGATAAATTCAGCTTGCGGAAACAAAAAGTCGCGTCCAACTCTATATTTCCTGGCCTATTTGTTAGGTAAGGCTTTGACACTGTCCAAGGGATGCTCTTGTATCATCTTTCTCCATTCAAGAAGATCAAGGGCGAATCTTCTGTTGAAAAGATGTAGACGGATCAAAAATTATTGTTGGTTGAAATTTAAACAGTTACTTCGCAATAATCACTAACTCCACTGAGCCTAAGCCCAAAATAAAACCAGCAAGGCTAAATATTTCCAAATCCGATGTCGATATAAATAAAGATAGAAGATTTAAACTATTACATTTATAGAGAAAAACATTGTATGATTAACTATGTGAATTCTAAATTTGATACGCNTATGAGTAATTGCAGTGTGAAAATTTGTTTTTTCCACTGTTATTTGAAGCTATAAACAAATAGCGATTGAGTGTTCAGAAGGGTGCGCCGCCATGTATGTAAGAGAGCAGTTGCCTTCTTACAGGCGTTTAATATACGATCTTGACGAGTACTCTTCATTTCTAGACCAAAGAAACGATGAACACTGAATGAAACATTAACAATTTAAGAAAAATTTGCAATATTGCAATAATTAAAATTATTATACAAAAATAATTTTATGTACAATTTTCTAAACTGTAAAAGTTTAGGGCTAGTTTTGTAGGTCTTTTGAAGACGAAAAAAAGTACTTTACTGTTTTCTCGTGGAAATGAACGGAAAAAAATTATAAGCGATAAACGTGAATTTACGTAAAAATTATACAATTAACCACCCTGCAAACAATCTTCCCCCATTTTTATGACTGTGGAAACTAATATGTTATCGTACATAATATTTAGCATCTATAGTGATAAATTCAGCTTGCGGAAACAAAAAGTCGCGTCCAACTCTATATTTCCTGGCCTAGGTAAGGCTTTGACATTGTCCAAGGGATGCTCTTGTATCATCTTTCTCCATTCAAGAAGATCAAGGGCGAATCTTCTGTTGAAAAGATGTAGACGGATCAAAAATTATTGTTGGTTGAAATTTAAACAGTTACTTCGCAATAATCACTAACTCCACTGAGCCTAAGCCCAAAATAAAACCAGCAAGGCTAAATGTTTCCAAATCCGATGTCGATATAAATAAAGATAGAAGATTTAAACTATTACATTTATAGAGAAAAACATTGTATGATTAACTATGTGAATTCTAAATTTGATACGCCCATTTCATCACCATCTTCAAAACTGCAGAGTCAGTTTTCGAAACGTGGAAACGTTGCAACATTTTATGCGACAATTACGTTTTTTGCGAGTTACTACGATTTTTTTATAGTTATATTAAGTAAAAAGTTAACGAACATAGTTTGTTCATACATTACGTAAATAAGCAAGATAATGAATAAAGTTACTGTAAAAACTAATTACTTATTCTTATTATTTTATTATTAACATTCCGCAGCATTTGCGGTGCTATAGATAGAATCAGATAGTATTCTTTAAATGATCAGTGTAACGGAGTGTTACAAATAACATAATATAATATCTATTTAAAACTCATGCACTCAAATGTTAATCTAAGACTAATTTTGCAAGAAATCACTTAAATTGCTTATGCAAATATGTAGAATTGATTTTCTTTATCGATATTAATACAGAAAAATTAAATTAGTGAAAAATAAAGTAATTGAAATAAATTAAAACATATCAGGAAATGACCTTTTTAAATTAACAAATAAGATTGGATATAACTTTATATAAATTTTGGTATTTTGAAGGGTGTTAGATCAACGTGGTGTTAGCTTTGATTTATGTTAAAAAAAACTACCACAGAATCTTTACAAAATTGGCTTAGGATTTACAGCTTTAATGAAATTATAGTTTCCAAATATGCATCATTAATTAATAAAGAAATATTTAAAAGTGTTTTGTATGTACGTACTATATTAATGACCAGCACACGTATAAATAAGAATACTCTGTATAAGCTTTTGAAAAAAAAATGTTAAACAAACCTATCATCGAAAGAATCAGACATGGATTAGTTTAAGTAAGATTACGTACATAAAAATTGTAAAATTACTCACTAGGCTATTTTACTGTAAATCTGAATTGTTTTTCTAAATTCGTTATCCAAAAATAAGGCACAACGTTCCCGTCAATAGGAGTTCATGTTTACCTTGTTTTTGAGATACAGGGTGTTCAAATTATTTTATTCTTTCGGGTATTTTTCGACACAACTTAATTATTTGATAAAAATTTAACAACTTCCCCCATTCTCTGTGGTTTTACCGACACATAGGCACGTGTAAAACTACCTTATACGAGTATCTACAATAATAAAATGTAAAATTTTCTTTAAAAAATTACGTAATTCTGGATTAACCTATGTGGCGTCGAAATAACTAGCTTTATATAACATTTGTATGATATTTTTGTGTAATAAAAGAAATTCACATTGAAATTGATATAAAGGATGTTTTAAAAACATGTGTCACCGTTTGAGATTCATCAATCAAAAATATGTCAAAAACTTTATGTTAATATGGATTCTTTTCTACAATTTCCAAATTAAAGTCCCCTTAAAATTTATTGGAACTGATTTTAGGCGCCTCACAATCGTAATTTTTTATATAAATTTTATTTATGTATAATTTATACAGTTATTTGCAAATTTTGATCAAAAATGAAATCACATATTCTTTGGTGAATTTTAAGGGGAGTCTTTCCTATAAAGTTTTTATCTTCGTTAAAAAGTCGTAGGGTGTTAAACTTCAAAAAATATTTTTAATTCTTTTAAATAATTTAAAAAGTAGTAAGTGTAATAATTTGAAATTGGCCACTTGTATTTATGTAATCATTGTCGTAAATCTGAGGGCTTTTCATAAAATTTACATGCTCCAGTGGCGGAGATACAGGGTATCGGTGGCATATTTTTCTAAACTTTAGAATTAAGGATATTAGTGTCTATTCTGTAAGAGGAAAGTAAAATTTTAAAGGAGATTAAAATTTTGGCGCTCGTTAACTTTAGGTATGTATTCTGTATGAAATATATGGTTATTTTTAACAGTTGTTAAATAGAGCCAGTGAAATGGTATTCTGTATGTTATTTTTTGGGTTAAATTTTGACCATTTTCTTTAAATTTAGACGATAAAAAGTTAATTTTAAAGGTTCCTAAATTGGTGTTGTTAAATCAGTTTTTTTTTATAAATTGAGATCTGAAGAGATAAAATATGGCATTCGATGGATTTATTCACATGGTACTTCTTGAAATTGTCCATCCAGAAGAGAAAACAGACATATCAGAGGCAACTTCGTGATAACAGTCCCTGACAACATTA